GCATTAAGGAGCAATATTTTTAATTAACATTAAGGAGCAATACTTCATCACCAGTCAAAAAGATTCAAACGCTCTAAGATTTGTGTCGCATCATTTAAGGGAAATTTATACTGTAAATTTTCTGTTTACTGTGAAACTGAGATCAAACGACGAAGTAAAATGCAATAAACTTAATATTCACTAGAAGGTCGCTCAATGTTTATTTTGCATAAACTCTCGTTTTAAATTAATATGTAGTATTTAATTAAGTAAACTTGTTCAGTTGTCATGATAATAAACGGGCGGTAAAACGGCGTTGTCAAAATTATTGCACTAAATGTCGTGTCGGGTTTGAATATAAAAATAAACTAATAAAAAAAATAAAAATCGGAAGATTTCATTTAATAATCAAAAAGAGCACGTTTTAATAGAAGCCATAAAAATCAAGTAACCACATAAATGCAAACCACACTGTGCCATGCTCTTGAATCGATGAAACAAAAGCATCAACTTCAAAGGTTCCAATTGGAAACGTATCAAGACTAATTATTTGTCCCGCCGGTTCTGCTGGAAAATGGTTTCCAGCAGCATTTTATTATACAGTCGCATGCAACATGAAAGCTATTACCCTACACTTGACTGGCGTCATGTATTGGTTTATCGTCAACAGTTAAAAATATTGCTAGAATAATCTCTTCAAAATCTTCCAGTTCTATGTGTCAAACCATTCACCAATAGGAATAAAATTGACTGTCGAGTTTGAAGTTTAGTGCGGCGTTTTCTGTAGTCGAAAAGCGTAATGTAGTCTCGTACATAATTATGTGAACAGCTACACGATCATTATACAAAGATATAAAAAATTATACTATAATCTCAATGGAAATTGGTTTGAACAAGATGTAGTCCTCAGCTTTTTGATCATATTTCAAAAACCGCACATTACTTTGTAATTTACACAAATACTGTAAAAAAACAAAATAGTTTTTGTTTTTGTTGCTTATAGACGAGGCCGATACTCACATCTGTAAATTTTGACATATCCCTTGTAATCTCTAAACAAGGCATACTGTAAAAATAGTACGATAGTTAACATTTTTTATGAATGGTACGAGTCACCGTTGAATTAACAATACAATACCTACCAAAATCTGTTACTTAAGTACCCAAACAGAAAGCGTTCTGGTCTACTCAAATTAAAAAAGCAGCGGCGTTACTTTAAAATTGTAGCAAAATAAAAATTACACACGCTTAAACCTGTTTGAAAGTTGCTTTATTAAGTGCAAGTTGTAACGTTATACGGTGACCATTCTACTGTTAATTCGCATAAATTAAAGGAGATCCCCGATTTTCATATTTATAACACATTTACTTATGAAAGTTAGATAGCGTAAGTCTAAATCTGGCTATTCTTTTGGTTAAGAAAATTTGCCTAGATTTCAATTTTAGACTTAAGTTTAAATTAAAATTATAGTAAGATCTTTTTACTTTGCTAATATATGGTGGTGTGAAAAGAGGCCAATAAATATCAAAGTAAATGTCATTTTGTTTAGAAACTGTTTTCCTAATCTAAAAGTACCGTATCTTTTAGTGTTTTTATGGAGTGTTTAAGGTCCTTTGTATCCACGGGGCCCTGGTCCTAAGCCCGTCAAGCCCTTAGGTATCTCATCCCGGAAACCACCCTCTATAGGAATGAAAAGACAGGTAGTTTCTTTCATTTATTAACTTACATTCATAAACACAGATGCTACATTTTCTCTTTTAAATCACTGATTAGTTTTTATAATAGTTTAAAAAGTACGAAGATTCATTAAAAGCAATATCTTACTGAAAATACTAATTCCACGCAAACAAAGTCGCGGGAGGAGCTAGGTTATTATTGGTATAAAGAAGTGTAATATTAGTCAACTAACCAACCTTCTTTCTATAAATTCTATCAGCCAATTTGTTATATCTGGTTTCTCGTAACTACAACGATTTGCATCAACTAGTGTTACTCGACTGGTCGACTGTTTCAATTAGTAAGGTATAAGTAACATCATATTCTCATTGAAAACTAATTACAATGTTCTCCGGTGCTCAGCTACGTAATTATTCTGTGTTAATAATGACGGTTGTAGCTCTTGAGAAATGTTCGGATTGCTTTGTCACTCAGTTTAGATTCAATACTGGTTCAATTCAAATAGTTGCTTTAATTTATGTACTTTGACGCATGATAGAGTTTCATTACGATATTATTAAATATTAATTGAACAAAATGAAGTTAATAATTCTATTGCGAACTGAAATTTTTGTTTATTCCGTTAGAAAGTTTTGTTTTTTTTTTATTATTAAATATCATTAAAAATTCGTCCTAATTAAATTTCGGAAAAAATGACACCTTACGAACATTGACACGATATATCCTTAACTTTTTAGTTTTCGGTCATTCTCTTGCAGAACCATACGTCATATCCTTTCCTTTGAGAGATTAAAGGATTTATATGAAGAATCAATAGTTAATAAGAATACTTTTAATTTTCATTGGTGCCATCAGAAATTTTATTACATTAATATTTTGTCATATCATAATTATGGATCGTAAATAGTTAATATGAAAACACTCCAATGTAGGTATATATATCAATACCTTATTGACAGTTAATGGATTTACAAGGCTGTGAAAAATCCATTCGTTGTATTCTAACATTATCAGCCGTACGCATAACAAAACAATACCTCTCTGGTAGTATATATCTGGTAGTAACGTAGGTAACGTTGAGTGTAGATTATTTTTGTTAATTCCACTATTATCATATTGGCGACAAACTTAGTGATTTGATATTTTAAGCCCTATATAAGTGAACTGAACAATATAATAATTGCCAGAGCCAATAAAATGTTCAATTTTGTTGAGACACGAACATATAATATTTCGATTAGAAGAGAAAGACATTTTTGTCATAAGCTAGTAAACAAAAGACATTTAAACTATTTGCAGCGTACCCTAAGTGCCGCCGCAAGGGAGCGACAAAAATGTTAATCCGACCTCAACTCTCCTTATTTTAAAATCAAATAATAACTAAATTTTAGAGTCGTTTAAATTGCGATTTGGAATCAGAAGCATAACAGGACGAATATATAATCATATCGCGGCGTGTTAGTCGTATTTTTTAGGTGTACATACATTAAAATAAAACTGGGTTTTTAGCTAGCATTACTTAAGGCTCTATTATTTATATGTAACTCTGCTCTACCTGCTAGATTAATTTCTTCAAACAATACGACATCAGTACTGTCTTTCTATAAGTTTTAGCTGTTAACAGTACTTATAAAGTAAAAAAAAAATATATATTATCCAAAGATAAGACGAAACGACATTGTGATGCTAATAAATTGAGTATACGTACTTAATATCGAATTGCTTAATATAAAAATATTACAATTATTGCAAACCGCTCAAAATTAGGCCTTGGTTATAAATATAAAGTTACTATTAACTTTTAATCTTCAATATGAAAACTCGAATAGAGATCGCTTAAATATTAAAGAATAAAATAATATTTCGTTTAAGAATCATAAGTTTCCCTTGTTGTTGGATTTATCGGCATTATTCTCTATTTTCGCTGTTTTCACCGAGGAAAATCTGGAAACTTCCATTTTGGTCAAAATACCGAAATTTCAGAATAAGTGTATTAGGTATAAATAGCATTTACAACTCCTGAAATACCGCTTCTATTAAACTATTTGTTTAGATAATTTCTCAATATATATGTTAGTATATTCTTATTTGTTTTATCTCATTTTAATAACTATTTTTTTAAACAGGGACTTGCTAATTTATGAAATTATAAGAGCTAAATACTCGTACATATATTAAACTGAACTAAAATTAATCTATCTTTGATTATTATTTGTCTTTTCATTAACTTACTGGTTTCATACGTATATAAAAAAAAAATGAGGTACCGGTTTAGTATTTCTCTTAATTTGTTAATCGTATATTTGTTGTAGGCGTAATAATATGATCTAATTGCTACCTGTGGTGAAAAATAATTAAATATCTGCAGGCTAACACAGCTAGATATTAATTACATGAGATAAATAAACATCTAATTCAGTCACAATATTTTTTATTATCGTAAATAACAATACAAATATGGTTTGATTTTGATATGTGATAGATAAATAACATTATATGTGTTTGACTTAAATACATAACCGCTTATATAAATTTCTAAACTATATTTTGTACACCAATCACTGTAAAAAGTTATATCGCTAATTGTGTGGGTGCTGTTAGGCCTTCTACTTTTCAGTTAATAGTTGAATTTATTTATTTCTGAGTTGTACCGAACCTAGTTGGTAGTTCAGATCCCGGCCATGTAGTTGTATTTAGTTTATTTGTAATGATACTTTTAAAATAAAATTATGAACTATTCGTGTGTCTTAATTATGTAGAATTTTAGCTCTAATTAACGTGTTAATGACTTTCACTATTAAATATTATTAAAACCGTCATAGAATCAGAAATTTACCTCGTCTTATTAAATCCTTACGTAATGTACAAAACATTTGTGACTTCTTGATATTCGTCGAGCATTCACAAGTTATTGGGTTCCCTTCGCCGCGCGACATGATATAGGTCACTAGCGGCAGCAATTAATTCGCTATTGTGTCTGTACAATCGATATAATCTTCATGCATCTTAAATCTTATATTTGGAAATTCTTTAAAAATCTACGATCTTCGCATCATCACGGTCTCAACATCTCTGAGATCCCGAATTCGATTGACAGTCAGGTAAATTAATTAATTGGGTGTAGAATTACCTTCTGTATTATTTTGTGTCAGGTCTGAGTGATTGTATATGGTACTTTCAAACAAGTTTCAGAACCATGGTACATGTTATTTTGCACCTACTAAATAACAACTTATGGTTTGTCATGCTATGAAGGCTTATTACAGTTATACTTTAGAATAGATGTTTCTGCCAGCAAAAATGCCTTCTCAAGCTACTCACGTTAATCTATTTTTTTCTTCAGCAGAGTCGCCCAGAGAAACCATTGTCGGCTTTAGCGTCCGGCCCCCCTCCCCCTGCGGCCATAGTACCTCGTACAGCTGATGGCCCCCGCCCTCCCGGTTGGAACGGCCAGCCTAGAAGACATGGATCCAGCAGGTTCAACGTACAAAACCACAACCAGGAGCTCGTCAAACTACCGCCTATTAAAGGTTAGTATTTACGCTTATTCTTATAACTGCAATTTCGACAAATACCATCTTTTTGATTTGACTATGTACCGCCTAACCTAAATTATTTCTTTACAACGATTTTTTATAGTCGCATAGTACGTAAGTTTACTTTTCCATTTTCCAACAAGACGAAAGGTTATGTTGTCTAAGCATGTAACTCTTGTGACATGTGAAATGAAAAAAAAATCCTTATTCAAATAAGCTTATTGGAAGCAGTTTTGATGAAACGTCTAAATTTACTTTCTATTCTTTCTATCATTTACTCTCTATTCAGGACGACTTTTGGCTGACAAGAAAATAAGTAAATTTAATCAATAATATTCTTAATGAACTCAGTATAGCATTGTGAATGCAAAATTGATTAATGAGATAACAAATCAAAAAAAATCTCTTATGTTTTTCAAATATGAATCCAGCTCTTAACTGAAAATTCATAATACCAAATTTCCCGACTTAGTCAATGAGTCATGCTGTATTTATCACGCGAGACTAAATGTGACTGAAGCCTTTGAAATTGAAGTCGCGAATGAAGGAAAAATACGAATTTGGCAAATGACACGAATTCCGATTTGATTTGAGAGTTCTCGATACGATACCGGTCTGTAAATTATCAATCCAGTTAACAAGCACTCGAGAAAGTCGAAAGTGACGCCATCGGTTCCTAAATCTACATCAAGATTGAAAAAAAAACTATATTTTAATAGCTCATAAATTTACTTAATCAAAATAAATAGTTCGTTACAGGCAATCTTTAAAAGCAAACAACTTTAGAACTTAAGACTATTCTGTTTTGTCTTTTCTCATATGGTTACTTAATCGACTGACGGTCATGAAGACCCCTTTTTCACTCATATGAAATATTTGGTGGGCGAGGCGACTAAATTTCTGGGTTTGATGTGAATTAAGGATGCCACTTCATGTTTTATGACAACGGAATATTTAAAATATTCACCGCAAAGAGACTCTTTGTAGGTGATAAAATTGAAAATCAATATAATTTTATATCTAATTGAAACCACCATGTGGCGCCTATAATTAAGTTATGTAAGATGTATTACCAAAATTACCAACATATACTAACTGCACTAATATAATAACTACTATACTAAAATTATAAAGATTGTTGTTATTGTTTGTTGGTTTGTTTGCATTGGTTCCAAAAGTACTAAGATTGATTTTAAAATATTCTTTGACGTACGGGAAGCAACATCGAAAGTGATAGGCTATAATTTACGCGGGTGAAGCCGCGGCAAAATGTTCTAGTATTTCGACGACATTTAATTAAAGGCCAATTTAGTTTCTCAGAGACATGCCGTAAAGTGGTTTGCTGACGGACTTTCGCGTCACATCTCTTGTGTGCACTGTGCAGTTCTGTTTCCGCCTATTCCTTTTGCCTTTCAGTGGCAGCAATACAAAGATTTGCTATATGGCAGTTAATTAAAATAGTTACAAAATTATATGTTAAGTCCATTTAAACAACAATGAATACTATTCGTTAGTAAGCTCATGATTCAAGACCGATTTTTTAGATATTTAGTTTTAAATATGTGTGTCTTTTATTTACGTATTAGACATATATATATAACAAACATTTTGGTTTGCAATAAATTCAAAGGTGGTTATCAAAATTAAACTAAACTGTTTGAAGACAGGCGGTTATGTATGACATAAATCCTCGCCCTGATTCGTATATAATGCCTTTTTATTATTATTATTATAATATCGTTGTTAAGTCTATTTTGTTTGGTTGTAATCAGTTGCCATTTGCAATTGAAGAAAATAGTGTAGTCTATGTGTTTGCCTGTCTTTCAATCTTGACACAGTTGAGACTAAACTACTTAATGGAGTTTAGGGGTAGGCTTCTGTTATTATAGGGCAAAGTGCAAGGTCCGATATAGGCTGGTGTTTTGCTTACTGGAAATTTCTTTATAATAAAAATCAGAGCTTGTATGCTCTTTTTAGGATATACTATAAATGCCTCTCTCATTAACTTTGTTACTCCTATTGTGTCAGTTAGAAATGAAACTGATATCCGTCCTATCCATCGACCATAGTACTATCCGATACATATTGGAAATCCAGCGATTTGACAGGATACAGGACTTTTAAAAAATAAGAAATATCATTTTTTTTTGTAAAACTTATGCGTCTGAGAGTGAGCTTTGTTTGTTACCATGCATCACACACGTTGTTTGGGAAAAATATTAACTAATTCTAGTATGGCTTGAATAGTGTATTTGAAGTCATGATTACTTAATTACTTTGAAATTTATTTTAACTTAATTAGCAATCAATATGTAGTTGTTGGCTATTCACAACAAAGAGAAAAAATAACTTTATTTTAATTGATTAATGAAAATAATTAGTGATCACAAAATCTTCATCTACATCTTAGAAAATACTTATCTCCATTCAGTAATCGAGATTAAGAGAATTTCAATTTGATCGTGAAGAAACAAAATACAAATAAACTGCAACATCTATAGAGAATAGATCTCTATTAACCAAAAATCCACTCTTTTCACAAAATATGACTTTTTTAATGTTAGAAAGAAAAATAATACAAAATAACCATTAAAATTTTACTATATTGTATTTCTACTTGTAAATAATATTATTTTGTATATAGTTAAATTGTAAATATAACCGTTAATGTGTTGCAGAGGTTTGAGATAACTATAATTATTGTAACGGTTAGTTAGTAACTAATCATAATGTTTATTTTTTTTACTTTTTAGTAGTATTTGATGAACTCAATTTGTATCGGCGTCAATTTAATAACATTTACTGAAAAATCTATAAAATGGTTGACAAAATTTAGTATTCTCCAATTACTCGTAGTCACGCACACTATAAAGCTAAGGGGACACTGGAATTATTAAACATTATCGTGTTTATGCAAAAAACATTCCTTCCTAAAAATCACTTTAAAAAGTTAACCACATTGCTAGTTAGTCCGTGTAAATTTGTAAAATTTCCTGGTTAAATAGAAAAATAAATATGAACCAACAGATGTTTGTACCTACCAACAATAAAAAAGTAGATTCTTTTTATAAAATATAGTGATAATTTCTACAAACTTATAAGAATGGTGTTGAATAATGCTTAAAACGAGTTAAATTAAATGGCTACATAAAATTCTATGTCACAAGCTTTTTTATATTCAATTGTCACAAGAACTTTATTCTTATTAGATCGGGTCAGTGCCTCCGCACCACTAATCTGCCGTAATTACACTAATTACCCTTCTAATCCGAACTAAGCACCTATCATCCAATCTAGCACGCTTAACAAGGAACTAAATAATAATATTTAGATTAGATTTCTTGTATTATTTTTTAAAGCTTGTTCTTAAAATAGCAAACTTGTAAAATTGCGTAAAACATTATATATCATTTATTCTCGAAATTCGACGCTATTGCATAGGTATTTCCTTGAGATGTTGTACCTATACAACATATCACCTTACTACCTAGTAATTATAAACATAATCATTATAGCACTGGTTAAGTAATCTTAGCTCCTTTCAAAATTTTATCAACAGTACTAAAAATCGTCTAACATGCAATATTACAACGGATTTACTTTCTCATAAATCCATACTTAATATTCATCATCATCCACCATACGATGCTCATTTCTGAGCATAGTCCTACCCCATAGATCTCCAACACGATTGGTCCTGCGCTGACCGCATCAAACGGTTTCCCGTAATCTTTGTCAGATCGTCGGTCCACCCACTGAACGTCGTCCGGTACGTGGTCGTCATTACAGAAACACCTTTCTACGCCAACGGCCATCGGTGGTTCTGGCTGTGTCCCATCCACTGCCACTTCAGCTGTGTCCTTCTTCAATGTCAGTAACTTTGATTATCTCACGGATCTCCTCATTCTTGATTCCATCACGTAGAGAAGAGAAATACTAAGTATTGCTCTCTCCATTGCCCGCTGGGTGACCTTGAGCTTTCTTATGACACCCATAGTAGATGACACTCAGGTTTTGCTATCCATTATTAGCAACACACACTGGTCGCAGACTTTTCGTAACTTTCGTAGCTAGCGTACTTAATAATATAAATATAAAAAGACAATCTGTCTGACTATTTTGTTTTTATTTTTTTCTATATGGCTGTGCATAATGTTGATCTACGAGTATTTATTATGCTTTCCATTACCAGGCAGCTGCGCTGATATTGAATAAGAGACAGTTTGAAACCAAGGAAAAGCTATTTTTTCCAAAATAACACACTAATGAATAAAATCAGTGGTTATATTGATTATAATCCATACATACGCGCAGTTTAAAAATTATTCTTAATTCGACTCGCACTTATAATATTTTAATTGTGAGCCAGAACAATGGTGAAGAATATATTGTCTCACGTCACCATACAAAACGTATGTAAAAAATAATACTCACATGAAATTAAAAACGTGACATTATGAATACTTTGTTAATGTCACGTTAATCGTGGCCCATTCACCATTTTCTACCACCTAGAAATGTTTGTATAGTAGAAACGCGTACATGTAAAATGAAAGGAATAATATAAATATTTGACAGCGTTATCAGTTTTTTTGGCATTATGACCATAATACATGCGATAAAAATAAATCATACTAAATGTTATCTCGACGAAATGAAGTCATTATCTCAAGTGAATATACATACATACGAGATGAAATGCTGCAAGGTTAATGCAGTGTTTTTCTCTATGTTTCAGGTTATTATTTTCTTAGCACAATGTTGTATGAGATATTATCATATTATTTTTTTTAAATATACCGCTAGTACAGGTTCTGTATTAACTTTATATAAAACTAGCTGTTGTCCCGCGACTTCGCACGCGTATATTATAGCCTGTGTCAACTACGCATGATGCAGCTTCCGTAAGCGATAGAATTTTAAAATAGGTTCATTGCTTTCGGAGCATATTAGGAGCAAACAAATAATCAATTCTTTCCGCTTTATATATAGATTAAAAAACCTGCATTTAATTGATTCCAATATAGAAAACTAAATAAGTCATTTATATTGCCTGCTTGATTTTCTACTTTTTTGTAATGTTTTAAAATTTATGGAGTTCCATATACGAAGTAAAATAGCGAGACAAAACAGCCCTTGCTAAATTTATCACCGGATCTACTCGGTACGTCCAATGTTTTCTACGTTGATTTACGAATAGTTAGCTTAGCTTTTAGACTACAACAGATTCTTCAGACCTAAATTGAAAAAAACAATTTGCAATTTTTGGACAAATACTAACAGCTGTATCTTGTTAAGGTACCCGTTTCTTATCAATCTAAGGTTGGATTGCTCCTTAATTACAGTTAAAGTTAAAGTTTATTTTAACATTTACTGTGGAATCAATTGCACCATCCTCTTTCTTGACATAGTAAAAAAATAAATTTAACCAGCGAAACTTAGGCAAGTTATGACGTCATCTATCAATTGCCATGCTCATGACACTATTCATTATTATTAGCTTAACCGGTACTTCAACATGTTTGTTATACATATTAGCTTGGTGCAACTAACCCTTAGATGTGTTCTCTGTTACATTTAAATAAACACCAACACAGATAAACTTCAAATTTTAATTAAAGGTTTATATTATTATGCTAGCTGTTTTCCCGTGACTTTTCCCGCTTAAATTATAGCCTATGTTATCTGCGTATAATATAGCGTAGGTAAAAGAATTTTAAAAATCAGTGCAGTAGTTCAGAGACCATTTAATGCAAACTTATTTTATAGAATCTTTATACCACTTGGGTGTCAATAACTCGTTTACATCATAACATCACTTAGTTGTAATACATATGTTATCTGTGTTATTTAAAAAGTGAATCGAATGATTTGATGTCGATTATACTATCGATTGTGGCAAGGGGGAAATGCATGTCTGGCACAGAGGCGCCCACGAGGGCTGGCTCCCCCTAACATTTACAAAAACAACCTCCAATGGCTTGTTGTCTTACGATTTCCGAGAAACTCTCTCACTTATCTACGTTGGACTTGATCGAAGGGTTGCGTAGGTTGGTACGGTACTTCAATTTTTCACTGGTCTAAAATATTCATCAAATTAGGTAGATATTAACATGTCATAAAATTTCAATAAAAAATAAATCTTACATCAATTTATTTTCATTTATACATTTTTAGGGTTCGGGAAAAAACAGAACCATTATAGGATAACTCGGGTGGCTGTATTTTCTGTCCGTCCACCTGTCACATACAGCTGATTTTCTCTGAAAATAACCTATTAGAAGCCGATGGTTTTTATATTTAATTATTTGCGCGAAGCTCTCACTGCGAGCCAGAGTCGCTCTTAGCCACTATTTTTAGTCATGGGGTTTAACATGAATATTCCACAGCCGGTTAGTTTCTGTCACTGGTTATAGTTTGCCTATCTACATTCTAAATATAAATTAAAACACGAAAATACCCGATGCTTATTTAAAGTCTAAACACACATCAGTATTTATTATCAATATTTTCAAACTTTAATGAAACCTACCAAGCCTGATGGGATTACGAAACCCATTTGCGGTCAAAAATTATAGGTCGAAAATTAAAATATAAAAACAGCATAATATCAGCTTTTGCTATTCTGTTAAAAGAACAGCAATGAACACATCGTTAGAGGTTAATTCAAATTAAACCTTAATGACCTTTTGGAGTAGCTTTTAATTCACCGAACCTCTAATACTGCGACAGCGCTATGTTTGAAGTTGATTTACCTCAACTATGTATTAACACACTAAAGCTTAAAATTGATTTGAGAAATTAAATCTTTTGTAATAATATCAGACGTGCTGTCGAGACTGCATATGCTCTGAGTCTATGATCCGAATACAAATGATTCTCGCATCTGTTACTAAAATATGACAAAACCAAATCACGGGAAATGTTAAGATTACAACTTTAATTTTAAAATTTTCCTAAACAAATCTCGTCTGTTTGTATTGTGAATTGATAAAAAAATTATATCACTTCAATGTGAACCATGAAATTAAGTTTCTGCGTTTGACTTTCTAAATTAATCTTTCCTAGAAAAGACAAATGTTCCTTAGTCAAAGACTCAAAAAAAAAATCAATTAGTGGGAATTTTTTCAAAAATATTATGTTAGACTTGAGGTTTGACTAGTCAAGCTTACCATTGCTGGTGTTTCGATGTTTGACTATAATTAAGACAGATAAAAACTAGATATAATTTTTCATCGTGAAATTCTAATTTAATTGGAATTGCTATAAAAATTGGCAGGAGGTACCCATACCATAAATTATTTGAACGGGTTAAGTAAAAAAGTAATGATTTGAGTATTTTTCTAATTCTTTTTTTTTACTTAACAAAATAATCTAATAATGATTCTTTTTAAACTTTACTATGTATGCCACTGTGACTTCCCACTAAATTATCTTTATTTTGATTGATAGTTAAGATACCGCAAGGCTTTACGTATTTACTATTAGTTACTTAGCGAATACATATTTTATTTACATATTTTTATTCTAAATTTATTCTACATCTTTAATATTAACTACTAGTGGACGCCCGCGACTTCGTCCGCGTGGAAGTCGGTATCCCGTGGGAGTGAGAAGTTTTCCCAGTAAAAAGTACCCTATGTGTTATTCTGATGTATAACCTATATTGCTGTAAAGTTTTATCCAAATCCGTCCAGTAGTTTTTTCGTGAAAGAGTAACAAACATCCATACATCCATACTTACAAACTTTCGCCTTTATAATATTAATAGGATGTATGTTAATGCCATCACTGTGCGTAGGAAGCAAAATGTTACTCTATAGTGTTTCGGTATACGTTTATATAAATCGTGATTGGTTATACAACATAGTAACTGGCAACCCTAACGGAGGTTGTATAGAGCGGTGCCAGAGTGGGGTGTGCGGGGTGCGCGCGCATGTGAGTCGCCGCAGGCGGGAGTGTCGGTAGAAACCAGCGCACGCCAGTCCGGCCGCCCCCGCAGCTCGCTCCGGTCCCGGCGCTGCCGGGCTCCCGCTCGGATGCCGCTGCCGGCCACCGCTTGCGATGGTCCATGCCGGGCCGGCCGCGCGCGCGCCCTCTCGCGCGATGTTCGCCGCCACTGAGAGCAAACCGCGCCGCGCCGTCTCGCCGCTCGGTATCCCGAAGTCTCCCTCGTTCCACTCGGGTCTTGACCTAGTCGCCAACCAAGTGCCCACCAAGCGCTCGGAAAGTGTCTCTGACGTAGCACGAGCTTTTCGCTTCGCGCTATTTGCCGGTGCTGGCATGGAGGGCCAGGGTCCGCCACAGAAGGCGCCATCGCCGCCGGACGCGCGCAGCCCGCCGCCCCCCACCACGGCTGCTGCTTCGCCAGAGCGTCCAACACAGATACCCTCTACTGATAAAGAAAGTTTGATGGTTCAGCTGCCCCTATTAAAAGGTTCGTCGATGGTTTCGACAACCTTGAAACTCGTCCAAGATTGCAGTTTATTTATTATCTTAACAACCTAACATCTCCGACATTGTTTTGCTGTGTTGGTCAACTGCGATTCGCATTTTGATCTAATTTAAGAAATTAAATCAAAATCACCTCACGTTGTATATACAGTAACGTCTCGTATCTATAAACAAGACCTTTATTTACGAGTGATAGAAAAGGCGAAGCGGTGTTCAGAAATTACGACTTAATATAGCTCACGCATAACTAGCAACCTTGAAATGGACACTCAGTGTAGTGTCCCAAACAATACGCTAAAAGGTAGGTAATGACTATCTATCGAACTACCGATGTTATGCTTATATACACAATGTATATATGGCGTGAAATGGCAAAAACGCCGCAGAAATATATCGACCCATCGGCCACTGGTCGCACTAGCCGGATTGTATGCGGTGTCCTTGCGCTTACAGTAACCCCATTCACATTTACCATATGATGTCATATTTTTACTCCGTCTCCGCGAAATATACATAATCGATTACTAAATCACCAATGACGTACCTTGCTTAGTTGATGCAATGATATATGTTGATCACGGAACATAAATAAATGTAAATCATAATGCAATAAAATACTTGTTAGAATCTGAAATCAAAGACAATAAATTTTTTTAACAAAGAAGCTTATAAACAAGAATCACCGTTTGAAATGTGTCAGTTTATATCGTCGTTTTACTTCACAGTGTGTAGTTAACACACCGATGTTTATAAATTAAAACTGAATATGGAGTAGATTAAATCCCTTCTGTATATTCTGTATATACAACATCCCGATAGAGATTTACCTACCATTCGGTTGTCAAAATATTTATAAAACTCAAGTCATTTCCGATATTCGCCGGTTATTCAGATAAGTATGTTAACCACGTTAATTATATTAACACCTCATGAATATATAGACATGTTAACACCTGACCAATTGTAAACGTTTCTGTTAACAGTCCAAGGCATCTTTAATGCTTTTAACATAAGATACTTTAAAGAGGTACATTGAAAAATAATCTCTGCGGGTCACCAAATTAGGTGACTGATGCAGCGGATAAAACTGCTGCACCAGCTATCTTCACGTCTGGACTCTACTATCACCACTTACCACTAGGTGTAGTAGAATAATTCGCTTGGGCCTGTATATGTGATGCCAGACTTATCAAACCACTCACTTATTTGCTTACTAGCTCAGATCTTGGTCTACTTTTGGTAATAGTCCTTTCCAATAATGAGTCGAAAAAATCTACGAATGCCACCCGTTTACAAACAGCACATCTACGGAAACTTATTAACTATTTGGCAAACATTTAAGTGTTATTCAGATTGAGCACTACGTAGAAAATTCCCAATGTTTCACTTGTGTAAGTTGTTTATTGATTGTCTTTTGTTTCAGATGCACCGGCAGCAGAACGTGAACAGTTGTTCGTACAAAAGTTACGACAATGTTGCTTGCTGTTCGACTTTGCGGACGAACCGCTATCGGATCTCAAATGGAAGGAGGTGAAACGCGCCGCGCTACTCGAGATGGTGGAGTACGTCACGTCTCAGCGCGACGTCATAACCGAGGCCATATATCCGGAGGCCGTCAATATGGTTAGTAATTATACATTCTGTCAAAGAAGTTCGCCGTTTCTACTATGTGACATTTGACGGGATTCTAGAAACAGGAAAGAGAGCAAATGATAGTCGCCTACAAGTCGTCGTCGATAGCCAATCGTCCTAAAAGTTGGCCTAACGACCTAAAAACCTAAAGGTTGGAATATAGAATCATGTCAATAACAAATAAATTCTTTATTTGCCGTTATCAATCATGTCATACTGTGGCCCTCAATATAATTCGGCTATCCTTTAAGATTTTGAATTGCAGCTCGTATGTTCAATAAAAAACTTAACAACTGAATGTGTCAGATATTATAATACTAGCTTTCGCCAGCGGCTTCGCCCGCGTGGACCCTAGGGAAATGTATAGTGGGATAAAAAGTATCCTATTATCTAAGTCAGCTAATACCCTATCTGTATACCAAATTTCATCAAAATCCGTTCAGTAGTTTCGGCGTGATTGACCGACAAACATCCAAACAAAGAAACTTTCACATTTATAATATTAATAGGATTATCGATTTGGTAATTGGGATAAAAAAATTCTTTATTTGATTTCCTCATAATTTTGAACTCTAATGCTTTTAATTAAGCTGGTCAAACTCTAGTCAAATTTGTGTAATAGTTTTCTATGACAAGATTGCTCAATAAATGGATTATTCACAAATGACAGATATAGTTCTAGAATGTACATAATTGCTGTATCTGATGCGCAGCGCTATCAGCGATAATGTGTTTAAGAAGAATGTGTAACGTCATAATGTCTTAACGACTTGGTTTTGTATTTTGTACACAACTCTATAATTTTCCCAATGATAGCGCGTTACACGTGGCACGGCACTTTCAATAAATCTAAAGGTTAAATGTAGCATTATCATTCATCATAGATAAGTATTTAAATAATGAGTCTACTTTTACATATACCATATAAAAAATAAACAAAGTTTAAGAAAGGTATTTGATATAAATTTTAACAGTATATTTTAACACAAGATAAATCCAAAACTGTGATTAATCATAAATAACAGCTTAGATATTATGAAAAACATAAAACAAAATTTATGAATTCAGTTTTATTAGAAAATGCAAGCTAAAAATAAATTTCGCAAATGGGGTGGTGCAATTTTCGAAAATTTTTATGTTAATTCTGGAGCCTTATAATATCAAATGCAACGCGAAGAGTCAAAAAATGACATGACTTTTAATTAATTTTTGAAATTAAATTATTTTTTATTATAACGTCAGGTTGCAAAGCTGAACGCATTTCATAGAATGTGATCGATGCCATTCGTTTTCTTATAACTTTATTATAAAATAAATTTATTCCTCATTAACAAACTACTACTTAAAAAAATAAACGCGCTATCTCGGTCAATGGTCGAGTACAAATTATACATTGGGCGAATGTGTAAACTCCACAAGCCCAGCTACGCCACGATTAACACAACAAAAGTGACAACATGCCGATTGCACCGTGCATACCGCGATGGATAAATGTCAGCCGAAATTTACTATTACCCCCTGGTACACTATGGCAATACAACATAGGCGAATATGTACTAGAACCTTAATATAAACGTCAAATAATCATATTCAGGTAAGGTTAACTTGTGTATCCCACTAAACACCTCTTAAAATAATACACTACTAGCCGTCTTCCCGCGACTTCGCACGCGTAAATTGTAGCCTATGTCAACACTGTATGATGTAGCTACCCGTAGATGAAAGAAACAAACGATCAAATCTTACCTCTTTATAATATAAGTATAGATTAAGTTTTATAATTTTATTTTCCCAATAGTTTGCCATAAATTTATTCCGGACGTTGCCTCCTTCTTCGAACCCTAATGGAGCGGAGTTTGACCCTGAAGAAGATGAGCCCACACTTGAGGCGGCCTGGCCACATCTGCAGCTCGTTTACGAGCTGTTTCTAAGGCTACTTGAGTCACCGGATTTCCAGCCCAACATTGCCAAGAAGTATATAGACCAGAAATTCGTATTACAGGTATGTAAATAATCGACAACTTTTATTTTTAATTTATATTCCACAGTTCTCCTACTCAGTTCCAACAACAATTTTTTTTTTCACAAAACCTATATCGGCGCATAACCACGATGGTTGGTGGATCACAAGTTGGATTTATAGTTTGGCATCACCAGGACCTAAGTTTGATTCCAGGATGGATCAATGTAGAATAAAATTTTACTTTGTTTATTGTCTCAGGTCTGAGTATTTATGGTACCTTAGTTGTTTTAATTTATTCAATTAGATTATAGACTCATTAAGAACTTTAGTTTTATTAACTTTGAATCTGAATAATATATTTGATATTTTCTGATATTGAAATATTTTTTCATTTACAATATTATAAAACAAAATTAAGTACACATTATAAAAGTAGCCATATGATTGATATGATTGAAAATGGAAAAACTGACACTAAATTTTAATATAATAATGATTTTATTAATAAAATATTTTTTTTAATCCTATCAACTACAAATGGATATTGATATTCAAAGTCAAGTCAAAATAATCTTTATTCAAATAGATTTCACAAAAGTACTTTTGAATCATCCAACACTTTTTTCCCTAACACTTGTTCAGGACGTCATTCAGACGCCGAATGAATAAACACTGTTGTAGAATACTTTCGTTGAATGCAACATCCACTTCTTTTCTATTTGTTGATATTGGGGCAATTTTTAACGATGTCCTTTCCTCCTTTTAATGCGACAATTCCACTACTATCAACTGTATATAGATAAGGTATATCGTTATACAGTAGGGACGCCCTTGACCGTACGTGTGAATAATAAAAGGCAACGCGCTGTTAAAGTTACCTACGATTTATGTCTTTTTGATTTGTGTGGTCAGGGTTGTCTTCAGCATTAAGATATTATTGAATTAGAATATTTACTTTAGCACACTTAGTTTCCTATTAATCAAAGTAACCATGATATGCCTTAATTTTAATTCAACGATATCAGAACAACTGAAATATTAAATAAAATATTTACATTCGCCCAAAAGATTATAATTTCTTGGAAAGAAATGGTTCATAGTAAGCAATTGGTAATGTGCATTTTATTTTTATTTATTGGTAATCCGACATATTTTTGTCTGTTCTTGGTTAAAATACTCACATATTTTTTATATTGTATTTATGAATTCCGTTATTATTCGTAAATAATGTGGTATTTTGTGTACCAACCCTAATCCTTTATTTCTTACTATACAAATGGTTCACCATTATGACCTTATGACACACTCGTTGCTATCACCACAATATTTGATGAAATATCGATGGTTGTAAATTTTTAAATTCCATTAAAGTGATACGCCATAAATCGCTTGTTTTATCAAGATAATCTAAGTTTTTTATTGCTCAACGTCCAACCATGATTACTTTCAATTTGAACAAGAGTACGTACATCTTTAGCTGGTTTAATTTTTATCACACACAAACGCATGCTCACACACACGTGTCAAAGTACTGTGAAATTGTAAACAGCGATCTGGTGCAGTAAGTTCCAACTACATAATATGGCGCGCGGAGTTTGCGCAGAAGATACTTACCATTTCCGTCGATGTCTAAAAACGTTTAATTAAATTTTACCCTTGGAACGCTTATAGATTTTAATCATTACGTCATCACCAGAATTGTGATTCACCATGCGCTATAAGATTAGATAATTTGCCTTCTTTTGTATCGCTATGCATATTAAAATGCATGTTTATACCGGCGTCAAGATATAGATATAAATTTGATGATTCGAGTTTATGCGTTTGTTATATTTTATGCTTATTTATCTAATTTTGTTTCAGTTATTAGAACTATTCGATTCTGAAGATCCCCGTGAACGGGACTTCCTGAAGACAACTCTTCACAGGATATATGGGAAATTTCTAGTTTTACGTGCCTACATAAGGAAACAAATCAACAATGTATTCTATAAGTGAGTTATTATATTTTATAAACTTATTTACCTGTGATTTGGTATGTGTATCAGATCAGCTTATTAGGAGCCTTCCTCAACCTGGCCCACGATGAAGTGCGGCACATCTGCGTATATCCCGCCACACTAGCTGCAATATTTATCTATTACCTTAACATTAAATAACAATAATATGTTACAAATAAAATAAATGTGATGGTTATACCTAAATAGCTTAAGGGTAATTGAGTTTAAGGTTTACTAGATCGCATTAGCTATAAGCTATAATCGTCTATGTAAATCTTGTTAATCCATATAATATAAAACAAAATAAAAACAAAACACTTCTTGAATGTTACGGTACAATAATATATCTACATGCTATTTATTTTCTATCAAACCTAGCGCCGGCTCAATGAAACTTGGCGCCATAGGCAAAATGCTGGAACGACGACAATAAAAATCTAGGTACACCTATTGAAGAGCGTAGGTCATTTTGCCAATGACAAAATAAATTTCTACTCGTGGTTTAAAAAATATATATTTTTTCCGCGGACCTAGATGAATGTTCAAAGAGCAAAATTTATGGTTAGAGCAAACATAATCTGTTCATCGTGCCATGCCACCCCCAAAGCACGAGCACCCCAGGCGGTTGACTAGTTGTGACTATATGGATTGGTTGGACCTGATCAAAAGTAGGAAAACTTCTTTATAAATTATTGGATGTCGCATTGTTTCAATTGCATCATAATTAAGAAATATTTACAGAAATATGACTTACAAATATTTACACAATCATTTTTTCCTCATCGAAACATTCTATCGAAGTGACAGCATTAATATTTCCAAACAAAAAAGCCACTAAGGTTAGAAAATGACCTAATAGCCCATAGAACAATAATAATTTTCCCACAATTACATTGGTTCCTGCAATTGTGTAATTTGCTCAAGCACTAGTGGACACAAATGCTTTGCACATTATTACTTAATTATGGCGTTAAATAATAGTCTTAACGGCTCAAGTCAAGTAAATATGCTTTAGTTTAGGCCGCACTACAAACGGGGGCTGGGTGTGGAGCATTCCCGGTGCCGAATTAAGTCAGAACGGGGTCTGTAGCAAAGAAACCCCCCCCCCCCACTCACACACACACAAGAAAAGTCGTTCTTTGCTTACATTTTTAACACTAAATTGAAAATTTAATTTATTGGCTTTGAACTGTCTCCATCTAAGCAAGGATCCCAAACGTAGCAAAACGCGCGGGACTACGGATCCCGCGCGTTTTGCTACGTGGCTAATCCCAGACTCTTCCCCCGACAGTGAGGGTGCACGGAGAGTGTATAGTAGAGGTCCTACACACCACCTGTCAAGCCACAGAGACAGTGCACGAAGCATTCCCCTAACTAAAAAACTACTATCGTTATCGCATTTATATTTATATCGCACCACACTTGTGTGGTGGAAATCGATTGATTCCACCACTCTTTGTTCTTTTTTTTTCTTTTGAGCACTGATATGTTAACCTATTTGTACTGATATAATGATTTAGACAACTAAATCAGTACAAATATTCATAATTGATTATTTCACAGGTTTATTTACGAAACGGAACACCACAATGGCATCGCGGAACTACTCGAGATACTAGGGTCCATTATCAACGGATTCGCGTTGCCCCTCAAAGAGGAACACAAACTGTTTTTACTTAGGGTAAGTGTGTGTATATAAATGACACCTAAAAACAGCTAAAATAATTACTCATTGTTAATATTTTTCGAAAAAAAATGCTAATATCCAAATTATACGTTCACGGTATTTGCTATTAAAAGAATATAAAACAATTATGTTTATTATCATAAAAAGTTGTATTTATACCTGAACTTTGATCAGTACTAGAAACTGTCAGGATGTATTAGTACTTTTTTGTTTACATTTTTTAGTTCTTACCCTTTCTCTATTTATATATGCGATTTTTTAAATTAAATTTATGTTAATTATAGCATAACGAGTAATAACTAGTACAAATAGTTTCGAAAGTATGTACAAAAAATACCGGTTAATTTCAAAATCACGTCATGTCGAAACGCTTATAAATATATTCTACTTATTTTGATTACAAATTATCACTTCACATCTAAATATTCTGATAATAAGTACTGGCTGACATAAATCATTTATTTATAGGTATTATTACCGCTACACAAGGCCAAATCGCTGTCGGTTTACCATCCACAGCTAGCGTACTGCGTGGTGCAGTTCCTTGAGAAGGACCCTTCGCTCACGCAACCCGTAGTTAGGTATGACGTCACATTTCAATATTGTATCTAAATACATATAAGCTGTCACGCCACACTTACATTATTGACTCGGTCATATCTTCAAAATATATCTGCGCGGACCAGATACCATTCATATGGCACTCTATTCATTTACCGAGACAAAACGACAGACCGTTCGCACTCTTAGCATGGATGCGGATACCATTTACACATTTCTACTAAAATGTTTGGAAGGTAACATAAATTAAACATATTCTTGGCATCGACTGAAGTAGCCTATGGAATATTCTGTTAACCTTTTTTTGCTTATCAGTATTTTTTCGAGCTGTATAAGATCGACAATTAATCAAACTGTGAAATTTTGTTCAGTTATTCAATTCTACCCATCTGGCAACCCTATGGCCAAGCCATTGTATTGTACACACTGCAAAATGGAATCAATTAAACAGCAGCACATCAGACATTTAATTATCAACATATTTATAGCTATATAAATCATTTATTTCAGAGCATTATTAAAATACTGGCCGAAGACACATTCGCCCAAAGAGGTTATGTTCCTAAACGAGATGGAGGAGATATTGGACGTAATCGAGCCGGCCGAGTTCCAGAAGATTATGGACCCGTTATTCCGACAGTTAGCAAAGTGCGTTTCCAGCCCGCACTTCCAGGTCAGACCCTTGTAAAATAAAATTATATTATAAAAAAATGATCTGAAACTAAAACATTAATATAGACATTCCCCGGGAATTTATTGATTCTATATCATCATTCAATCGACTAGAACGAAACATACTAACACCACACGGGCTCAATGCCAATTAATGGATGTTCACAACTGCAGATTTAGCGGTGATTAATGGCTTAACGTGCATTACTGAACACAGAGAAGAACCTCGTTATATTAAATAAGGTTGTTTACTACAAGTGAATATACAGGGTTCTTTTGTATGTTCGGACAATTAACCATTTTAAATATTTAATAAAACCAATTTTATTTCATTAATTTGGATAATATTATGCTTTGAAAACTTACATAAAATTTAACATCTTTTATTAGAAAAACTATATTCATAAACGCACAAATAACAAATCTAAAGATTGTCCAGACATCCCATACGTTTTTTCGCTACCGTAGCAAGTCAGACATCACTGTTGTCTTGAATTTGTATGGGAGCGTTTTCATCCGACTAGCAGCAGTTATACAAACATAGCACCATATATCCCGAAAATATTAATCGCAAACATGCTGTTACTTCTACATTATTTCTCAGCTATTAATAGATTATTTACTTATAAAATAAAAAGTGGTCATCTAGCCTATTTATGGCACACCCAACTGATAGCTGGTTTTGCGAAAGTTGCTTAATATTCGCAATCGTAGGCCATACGCGCTTCTCATATCTATATACTCATAGGATATCTCTATTTATTTGTTTTCGGATCGGAGTAGGTAGATCGTACTGGGATCATTGATCTGAAACCAAAAACATTAATATGGACATTCCCCTGGAATTGATTGATTATTATGGATTGTTTTCTGGAACTTAGGTAGTTAAAGTTTTAAAATAATATTCTGATTTCAAAGCATAAGTTAGGATCCCATAAGAATATGTTAAATGGTAGTAGGGTAAATAAAAATTTATAGTTTTGATACCTGGCTTTCAATTTTGAATCGTGTAACAATAATATAACTTCTAATTGTCCGGGAAAATGTGTTTAAAACTTCAAAATTAAACAAAATCCTTGTTTGTTTTGTATATCTAATATTTATTAAAATTATAAATTAATTTTACAATATACTTAGTGGTAAAATTCCATCTAATCCATGCTGCAATTTTTACTGCATTTTCAACCGAACATAAAAAGAATATAAATAAACACATATCACTTGTATAAAACATATTTCATTCATATGAGATACAAAACTAGAATAAGTAATATCCCATCGTTACATGAATGAATTGTGCGAAGCAAACAACTTAAGGATTAAGTTTCATACTACTAATAACGTTTGTTAGATGTTTGCTATGGGACAGCTTTGTCTGGGCACTCAGCCAGAAACTTTATTGGGATATTGACCAATCTGTTCTATAACAAACAACATCATTTGTCTTGATTGAAGGTGTCAATTTTCATGTCAGTAATTTATATTTACGAAGATTATAATGCTTTTTTTAACATTAATAATAAATTACCTCATAGCTACTAAGCAGTTTATTTAATGGCAAAAGTATTTTAAGTTATCCAAAAGTATCGAAATGCTTTAAATTTTTATTACCTCATAACTACTAAGCAGTTTATTTAATGGCAAAAGTATTTTAAATTATCCAAAAGTATCAAAATGCTTTAAATTTTTTTTTTTATCTGGGGGATAATTTGCCAAATCGCGTAAATGGCGTTTCTATAGCAACTGTTTTGATACAGATCTTATCACTGTCTGCCAGTTGAACAAACATCCATTGAAATGGTTTAATGACACATTACCCATACAAATTTTAAAATTTACAATATTTTTAGAGTTTAAAGTCGTCATTAAAACATAATGGACGTGTGTGCAACTGACCGTAAAGAAATTACACCATTGATTCATTCAATCAAGACGTTATTGTACTAATAATATTTGGCGTAAGGTGAATAATGCAATAATACCTATAAACGCCATTATTACGTTAACATTAGAAGAATCGAGATTTTTAAGAGCAATTTTATATCTTTTGTGATGTAAAAATCTAGCATAAATAGATGACTAACAAAAGGCAATTCAAAATCGCCAATCAAAAAATCGTGATTAACTTTCGTGTTTTTTTTACATAATATATTTTCATCCTCTCCGTGGCGGTATTTTTAGTTCCGTGCTGATGATTTTCTATCATTGTTTCTATCGTCATGAAGAATTCAAATTTAAGGGGTTTATTTAAACTATATTAAAACTGATTTCATTCAAATTCCCAGGTGGCGGAACGAGCCCTTTACTACTGGAACAACGAATACATAATGTCACTTATATCTGACAACGCGACGCACATTCTACCGATAATGTTTCCTTCGTTATATCGCAACACAAAGAGTCATTGGAACAAAACGATTCACGGGCTGGTATACAACGCGCTGAAGTTATTCATGGAAATGAACCAGAAACTTTTCGATGAGTGCACGCAGCAATACAAACAGGAAAAACAGAAGTAAGTTTAATATAAAAATCGATATAAAACAACTTATTTCATAAGTTTTGTCTCTTGTTTATTGTTTTGATGTGAAATTTTCGTTTTTAAGCATAAGAACTTGCCCAATAAAAAGTATCAGATTATCTGTCATTGGTTAAACTCATAAGTTACGACACGTTTGCACGTAATGAATGAATAGATAAGGATACCCTAATAGAATAGGTCATGGGTCAATTAGTTCGGCCTTACTGAATAAGTCTTTTGTACATATTTAAACTAGATGTTTTTTAGCAAAGCTATAATAAAGCCGATATCAAGTATGTTTATAATTTTTAAGACTGTTTGCTGTAAAAAATTATTATTATTGTTTTCAGTGAATTTTGTATTCATTTTAAATGCTATCTTATCTTAAGGATACTATCAAAAATACTGTCTTAAATAGGCTGGACTCCAGAGATTAGAGTTCTCCTGGTTAGCAAGGGGTTGTTGGTTTGCGTTCAACGTCGTATATAAGACATTTCTTTTCATTTCAAATGTTTCAATCTTGTTGCTGGTCCATCCTAAAAAGCAACCACAAGCACAATTTGAAACTTGTAGCAATTATAGTTCTGAGATTTAGTGATGAGTGAGTGAGTGACCTTTCGTTTTTATATGTCGTGGGCCAATCGCTGAATCGGGCCGATCGAGAACTGCCCATGCATACAACGTTATGGCGGCATTTTTCGATTTGGCCATATATCATTCGCCATATTTTGATGCTTGACGTTCGACTATTTACCGACGATACTCAGGCCAATTAATTTGGTAGGGTGACCATAGTACTATGAAGGCAGAGATGGGCAATAACCCAGATTTTCTCCTACCGTCTATATCTGTATGTAAGCAAATAAAAATAAAAAAGTTTTAATAATAATTATTTGACTGGTAAATAAAAAAAGCTGTTATAATTAACTTTTAAAATCACAGTCTTCATTTGCTTTTGACGTCACCGTGTTTCCCATACGTAAATATACAGCGGATATCGCTACAGCGCTACCAGTGACGCAAAACGGAACTACGATGCGCCCAGCTATATCACGATGTGCCCAATTGATTAGTTGACCAAATCGATAAATGCGTTGCTCTCGTCGATCCGTCAAACTTTTAACCTGACCGATCGTGATTTTTTCGCCAAATCAAGAAATGGCGGCATCTCGATATTAGCCCGGGCCAATCCCAATTCAACATTGGACTGCGACTTATACATCTAGATGAATAATCAAATAATCGATACAGGGAGCGCGAAAGGTTGTTACAACGGGAGGAGCTGTGGCAGCAGCTGGAGGCGCGCGCGGCCGCGAATCCCGCGTACCGCACGCCCCCCGCCCCCTCGCCCCGCCCCCCACTAGGCGACACCGCGCCCCCCGGTGACCTCTCCTACCAGCACGTGGAACGCGAAGCGATGGAGGTGAGAATAGCGATGCGGTGTAGTACAAGAGATCGTCACAAAAATATGCAAGAGTTCTTCTATAACGCTTAATACTTCAGTATGTTTAAACATGTTACTCAGTGCGGATGACAGCGGGTCGTGTAGTAAAAACATGCATTCAGTGTCTCTTAAAAGTAAGTTCGAATAACTGTTCAGACTGGTCAATGGGGAATATTACGCAAACCTCCACCACATACGAGGGTCAAACTGAAAGTTCTTAGAACTGGCCACTTATAAACAATATAATAAAAAAATAATTCTAAAATTTGAAAATATAACTCTTTGCCAATATTACTGAGTATATATTTCATTCATTTGTCATTTGTTTTACGATTTGGCGGCAAATTGAAAATTGTCTGTGTCACGTCATCATGAATTTAACACGAGAAAATTTTCGTGCAATGATTTTTTATGACTTTCGATGTCATTTAAGTCAACAAGAAAGTTATGATAGACTACGATTGGCCTTTCACGATGAAGCCCCATCTCGTGCGACTGTTTACAACTGGTTTAATGAGTTTAAACGTGGTCGCACTAATCTCACTGATGATTTACGTGAGGGACGGCCTTCTACGGCGACGACTGAAGATAACATCTGTGTTGTGCGGCGTATGATAGAGACTGACAAAAGAGTGACCTATCAACAGATTCGGACAAGCTTAGGCATCGGTATGAGTCAAGTGCACAAAATCCTCCACGAACATTTAGCGGTCAGGAAGCTTTGCGCCCGGTGGATACCTCATAATTTGACTGAGGCTCAAAAACTCCATCGTGTGGATTGGTGTCGTAAAATGATTGAAAGATTTAACGGAGGTGACTCAAATGCTGTGTTCGACATACTAACAGGTGACGAAAGCTGGATTTACTGTTATGATCCTAAAACCAAAAGACAATCTGCTCAGTGGGTGTTTCCTTTCGAGGAGTTGCCAACTAAAGTGAAGAGAGATCGAAGTGCGGGAAAAAAAATGGTGGCCTCGTTCTTTGGAAGGATAGGTCATTTTGCAACAATTGTGTTAGAGGATCAAAAAACAGTTTCTGCAGAATGGTACACTACCAATTGTTTGCCACTTGTCTTGGAAAAAGTTCGAGAGAAACGACCTCGCAGTAGGATCCTCCTTCACCACGACAACGCCTCGTCGCACACCGCCAAGCGAACGATCGACTATTTGGCGACATCAAACGTTGAATTACTGGGTCACCCGCCGTATAGCCCCGACCTCGCGCCTTGTGATTTTTATTTATTTCCAAAAATTAAAGAAAAACTTAAAGGAAAGCGGTTTATGAATGCTGAAGAAGCGGTGGCTGCGTATCGCGATGCCATTGAAGAGACCCCTAAGGACGAGTGGGCAAAGTGCTTTTCCCAGTGGTTCCATCGCATGCAGCGGTGTATTGACGTGAATGGACAATATTTTGAAAAGATATAATAAAACTAATAACTGGCTAATGTAATCAGTTTTTGATTTTCTAAGAACTTTCAGTTTGACCCTCGTATTGTAATCAAACATTTTGTCTTTTGGAATTGAATCTTGCATACAAATATCCAGTATGTTAAATTACACTCTTCCTAATTATTAATACCTACCTTACTCTACTCACTAATTAGTGACTACCGGTTGACGTATATAATAACGTCGCTAATTGTGTTATTTTTACGAGTTCTTTTTTATAATTTTAACCTTCATCGTCAAATCATTGAGCCACCATTACCGTCGAATGCCAAACCCTTAGGGGTTCGCGTACCCCACCTTATTGTAAACTAGACAGAACACTTTTGTTGACAGTTCGTTGTTTTACATTACGCAGGCGCGGAAGCAGAACTACAACGCGAGCAAACCGCTCCTCCGAAAGAAATCGGAGCTCCCCGCGGATACGTCCACGGTGAAAGCACTGATCGAACACAAGCGGGCCGACCCTTACCTAACCACGCCGCCGGACGTGAACCAGTGCTAGCGCACCACGCCCCATACGCAAGTTTGGTCCAGATCTTGCTAAGGTAGGCAGTTCATACTACGCGATGCGGCAGATCGTAGACACGCGTAGCCGTCCGTAGCACATACGACGCTTGTAGCGTTCCGTAGATTACGCTCGTGCGTATTCACTCTCACGTAAGCGTGTTCACTCTATTTAAAAAGTCGCGAAGTGTTCTTTGAAATAAGTCTATATGAGTTTTCCTTTCACATCCGCTAAGTGCTTAGAAATGTTGGTACAATGACTTGACTATCCAGTCGGCCTATGCAAAACTGATCTGATAACTGAAATATACTGATATTCGTTTCATTCTTACAAATTTTAGACACACATGTAAAATTCGATTAATATGTTATTGTAGCTGAATATATACATATATATTTGTAATCTATTGTAATGCATCTTACAGATGGATACTTATTCAATTATCAAAGATAAAATGTTCAGTTAGTGCTGTAAAATAAACGCCGTAGTAATAAACATTTTTCAATTTATGCTTGACTAGATAATGAGCGAACATCTTAAACATGGAACTAGTGACGAAGTATAACATTATACTCTTCTGTCATCCATTATATAAAAACTGAGATAACCCTTCAAAATAAGTTTTGTACAAATCATAAGTCATAACAGAAGTTTTCTAAAGATAAATATAATTAGAAAGACTATGGCTGTTTATATCTTATGAAATATTTGTGTACTGTTAGTACGAAATGCGTGCCTACAATTAGCAGACAAAATTTATATTTCCGATTTAAAAACAATTTAAATCGAGTACAGAAAACGGCAACCTGTGCAAAGCGTCGCACGATTAATGCTGCTAACTTACATGTATGTTTCATGCAGCTTGTATACAAGTCGTGTCCGTAAAATATATAGATAAATAGGCTGAACATCACTGTATGTGCATTCGTATAAGTGTTATATGTTTTTCACGGAGTTAACGCATCTAAGTAGTTTGAATGTTGTTAATTATTGTGATTAAGCCAAACTTGCGTTTGTTGAGAGTTGTCTCTAGACTGGTGTTGTGTGGTTAGGACAGAGGTGTGAAACGTTATGTGCGAAAAGACGCTTCAGTAGTGACACAATGTTGCAAGACGCGCCGTGGTACGTTGAATAAGTTAGTTAGTACACATACAATTAAATTTGTAGTTTTGTTGATGTTTTTATATATCAAGAGGGATCGACTGCTGAAATTCCATATCTTGCCCCTCCCTTTCCGTTAGTATAACTTATGTGCTGGCAGCTAATAACATAGTATTTATCACTTGATAGTAAATATCCGAACAGAAGGAGGCGAAAGTAACGAATTTTCTTTACACCTCTCAGATGAATGACAGGTGACATTAAGAATTCTATCGATTCGGCTTGGACTGGTGTGCGGGGGTTTATTATTTTTTTACATTTATATTTTCATGCAAAGAAATCAAAAATTCCTTTCTTTCGACTCCTTCGGCGCGTTCCGTTCTGATTGATATGCGTTTACCTAAGCGTGGATTTCTGATGATATCGATTAATTTATTGTCATAATTCGTCACCGATGTACAATTGATGAACTTATAACTAGCGCTGCGTTGCTAATACACAGTGCGCTTCCATTTTCACATTACTCAAGATATTTATGTGCAAATGGAAAAGCCACAAGTATATCGACTTTATCTGATCAGAGCAATTAAAGTGGGCGTTAAATATTAAACTACACTCTTTAACACATATTTTATAAAATAATTCAGGTATGCCATGGGATAATATTAAAGTTTGCGTAGTTGAATCCGTCTCGTTACATAAGTCGCTGAATATGATGCACTGCTTTTAATCTCAGCAGTCGATCTACATCCAAATGTCTATCACGTTACTCGATTGGCTTCGATTTGATTGGCATCGGCTTAAATCACATTCAATGGTCAATACAATTAGTCACCTGGTAAGTTGTGTAAGGTCAATACTGATTTGTTAAATGGAAACAAATCAGTATTGACCTACAATGTTTACGTTACGGTGTCAGTCACCGCTCTCTAAGAAACCACGCCATTTTGTTTACATAGACAACGAACATTCTAATGATGTCATTCTCTGCTGTATTACGCTTAACCAAAGCTTAACGCGTTCAAAACAGAATGCGGTTGATTCAAGCCAATGCCAATCAATAAAATCGTATCCAATCAAATTACGCGGTAGGGCAGCAGGGCGGAACGTTGAGGGTTAGATGTTATCTTGTTGCTGGTCAATATTGGTTTATCGGTATAGAACGACGCCCGCTGTCCTGTTTAGGTTTACTTATATTATTTATATAAATAAGTAAATGTATAGTAAAGAGAGAACACTTTAAACATTGTGTAAAAAAAAGTTATTAATCACGTACCTTTTAAAACTTTATAATAGGAATAATTAATATTGGCATTAAAATTATAAAACTTGGAAGTTGAATTTTCTTTACCTGCAATAAAGTTATCAGTTAAACACTTTGTTGTAATGCAAAAATTGTTTCAATAAAATAATTGTGCTTATTTATTAATCGGAATGTGTTGTTTTCTGTTAGTGTTCTCTGTGAGCTATGCATATTAGATTAATGCACCATTCCACTGATATACCACCAGCATCGCGATGAGTTCGATGATGAAATAAATAGTTATAATAGAGATCAGCCATAAAACAACCTAGTATGATATATGATTTATTAATTTTAAAACCAAATATATATATATGCAATTAATTGTGTCTCTGTTTGATATGAACACATCTTTTATAGAATCATGTGGTGTATTTCTATTGCTAAATTATGTTAAATGGAAAGCTGTATTTATGTCAAACAAAGCATAATTTTTATTTATTAAGTGAGAATGTAAGGGCAGGATCGCAAGCGAGCTAACTAAAAATAAACTTAGCATTATTAGCATAGGCTAAGCATTTCCTGCCCGCACGCGTTCCGCATTTAGATTATAATTTATATAGATAACTTATTTTGGAAAAAATTAATGAAACTAATTGAAATTGATACTGACAAAATATACAAGCAGTACATTTTTGATACTGATTTTTATTATCACTTCCATTTTAACTTGTGATGGAATTTTATCATTAATTAGCTTTTACAAGCAGCATTATACAATTCGTATGTAATCAATAAATACACTTCAGTCAAAGTTTGCTCTTGTATTATTTAATAAAAAGAAGTGCAATTTTGTCAAAAGAAAAAAGTAATCTTTGAACCTTAGAACTTACACCATCTGATCGGGCCTTAATAAGAGTTGAAAAATCCAATTTATTTAGTCATAGGGGTCTTACTTGATTAATATATATATAACTTGTCTTACATTGTATAGCATAACTACCAATACAAAGTATACAACAAAGTCGCTTTCTAAGTCCCTATATCCCTATGTATGCTTGAATATTTAAAACTACGCAACGGATTTTAATTTTTTTTCATAGATAGGGTGATTCAAAAAGAAAGTTTTTATGTATAATACATATATATATAATGATACATATATATATAATACATATATATATATAATACATAATATATATATAAATACAATACATATATAATGAATTCTATACGAAAAATTGACTAGACCAAATTTTATATTTTGTGAGACAAGTTAAATAAAAACATAGCCAATTGTCAAAAGTAAGTCGAATGATGGAGAACGGAGCTTTCTTAATGTGCCTGGATGGTTCAAAGCACCCGAATATTATAAATTTAATTATTTTTATTTTAGTCTTCATGCTAATTCTACTACTTATAAAATCTCTGACTGTGTAAAGTATGTTCTTATCGGTAGGTTTATAATAATTAATGATATTTTGTACTGGGACATGTATAAAAACGTACGTTAAAATTGAAAGGACAACGACCAACTTCGTTGCAAATGTGATCTTTTGAGCATTTTGCGCTTATTTATTCTTAAAATCGCTTTGTAATATAATAATATACCTTTACTAAACATTCCGTAATATTAAATCAGTTTTGCTAGTAATGAAAGAAGATATTTTGGTTTACATTTTTAATATAATATTTGTATGCAGTAAAAAAATTTGTTTCGAAGTAGGTCGTTGACTTCTTAATACAAACGGCTGCACTTCAGGTTACCATAATATGTCAAATTTCCGCAGTTGATTTTAAACCTTAATCTAAACGCATTAAAACTTAAAATCAAATTGAGAAATTTGACAGTTTTGTATAACCTAGCGTGCTGTTAACTGTACATATTTCTTAAAATTATAGCAAGTGACTGTATTAGATTGTAATTCACAGATTAAAAAACGTTGTTTCTCATCAACAGATCTTGTTTTTTTGAAAGAGATGTTATCTCATAAGTTGTTTTAGGTAACAATAATAAACAATTCAAAAGATCAGGCTAAGTTTAAGTATAGACCTATGTTATTGATGTATACGTATCAGCAATCCAAAATTGTATATTTTGTACCTTTATAATGTCGATTAAATGTCAATCGTATACGACAATATGAATTTTAAAAGATGTAGTAAAATAACTAGACCCTATCTACATTAATAAGCATTTATGATGTAAGTCATTATCAAATTAAAAACTTTTAACATTAAATATTATGGTGATCAAACATGAATCTAGCACAGTTGCTTGCTTAACATTAAGTGGTAAAATTCAAAGAGCGTGAAGCATGCATGAGAGAACAGTACCTCACATTAGCGAATTATTTGCAATGCTGTTCAAAATAAATTGATAAATTTTGTATAAATATTCATAACGATAATGTAACTGTTGAAAACAAAATATTGTAACAGATGACATATTATAAGGTGCTTATGATTATCGTTATAATACAAAGTTGTGCATATATATTGTATTTTTAATCAACCCTATCCACCAATTAATTCCTACCGTAGGTACAATCCCTTAGTGCCTACAAAATTGAGTTCAGAATCGATTGCAGAAATTTAAGATTTAACGGTTACTATAATACTGCTATTTTATTATTTACATATCATAAAAAATATTATTTTTTTCATACATTTTAAAAAACACATTGTTTCTATTCCTTCATCATCACTCGAATCATCATCATCACAAGTCTATTAATGCATTACTGGGACTTAGGCCTATGGATGGAATCGAATCGAATTAAATAATGAGAATATTCGTGAATTCTACATAATAAATAATACCAAATTCTGCTCCTCTTCATATTCCGATGAAGTTACAAGTCAGACGGGGGTACAGAAGACCCCCAATCGCCACGAACATATGACCAAAAGTGGTTGTTCAAGCTTTGAGGCAATCATTTAATCTCTCCAGATACATATCCAGTTTCTTCAAGATCAGTGATATATCACATAGAACACAGGATTTGTACAACTGTATACCATCTGCATAGACATAAGGTAAATTTATGCTGAATCAAACTGTCAAATTATTCACAATTAGGTTATCTACAAATCAAACATATTACAAGCAACGGACTTAAGCGAAAGTTATGCAGTTTATTGCATCAATATTGCTGTTTCGTGTACACTAAACCGCATGCATTCTCGCGAATTTGTGCGTACCGATTAGCATAGGTTCAGATTGACACTTCAACTAATAATAGCGAGTGAAGTATACTACAAATAAATTCAGGCTGGTATTCAAAACTATTTATTGATTATTATTTTTCATAACATTTAAATACATTGTAAGTATACGGTCAGCGTCAAACACTAGCCATGTCCAAAATGTTTATTATATTTATCATAAGAAACATTCAAAGTGAAACATGAAATCAGATCTGTATTTATATTACAATAAGTCAGACATATCATAGAAACAAATATGTAGTATTAGGAGTACCGTAATATTAGTGATGTGTGAATTTATTATCAACGGAATTATTATTATATAAAAATCGTATCTAATTCGATACTAAGAGGTACGTACATGAGAACTAATTTACTTGAAAATAGAGCATCGGTTATAAGTATTTATAAGTTAATTTCAAGCGTTAATAAAGGTGTCATCGATGCGAGTACACTATGAAGATAGTATAAAGTTATCTAAATAACTTTGAATGTTTCTCTTTATCGTATAGAAAATTTCACTTGAAACATTTTGAACATCAAATATTTAACTCTGTACCAAACAGAATATACATATAAACATTTTCTTCTTTGAATAACACTTAATTATGGACCAATTGTATTTTTTTTTTTCAATCTTAAAAGGGAATCTGTTATAACAGTGCTAATATTTACTAAAAAATGTTTCTAAAGCAGTATTTGACAGATTCCTTATTCAGATTATAAGCATGTGATCGTATTTTTATGTACAAATCCAAATTTGGAATAAATTGATACAAAATAAAATGTAATACATTTAAATAAATGTATAAAGTAAGGAATATGGATTTCCTCATTAAAGAAAGTAAAATGAGTTACATAACAATAAAAAAACGCGATAAAAGATTACTTCAATAGCCAATAAAGATCGTAAAGCATTTAATAAGGAATTTATTATAGTAACAATACATTTCATTTGATGAAAAATTATAAAAAGAATAACTTAAATTAATACATTACATCACGTACAGTTCAATTTATAAATGAAATAAATTCAAAACATGTTTCCAATTAATCTCATAATTTAATTATACATTAGAATGTTTGGTCACTTATAAAGATAACATTTTTTTTTTCTAGAATTATAGCAAAATTTCTGTGAACACCGCATAATATTGCACTTGGAATTTTTTAAATATAATGAAAATATCAAATTCCATCAAAACATTGCAATTGTAACTATTTTCATTCTCTAGTTCCAATGATTGTATATAATTAATTGCCGTAGCGTGGTCCAATCTGTGTGGGCGTAATCGCATTAGCGAATCCCTTTCAGCTTCTGTTAGCAAAATCTAAAAGATGTTATTATTTTCCTTGAATCTAAAAGTAGTTAACACCTCCACACAAGGCGTGCCAATTTGCCTTTACCTAACTCCTTATAGCTCAATAGCGTATATTGACAATATCCATTAAAAAAAAACATGCACTTTTTGACAATGCTAAGATATCACTAGCAAATTCTGCTTAATATTGTTTTACGTATCGACGTCAGGTACCTAAAAATGTAGTGTTATGATACTAAAATTTTAGTAATAGTACTAAATCAATGAAATCTGATTGTTAATAATATTGATTTTCATAATGTTCTCAAGAAGCTATTAATGGCTTATGCTAGTTGAGAGATGCAACCGTCTAACTCTCTAGCCATAGCATCGATATCTTAGCGAATATTATTGAGATATTTTCTTTCATTTTGTCTTTTGGTGCATTAATTTGGAATAAATTACTAAGTTGAAAACGCTGCTCTCAAATCCACATTCATCATTCTTTATCATTAGTTTATTTCATCAACCCACAAGTCGAAGTTGTAAAATGAAACGAACAGCGCTTTAACATCGCTAAGATGTTGTATTCTATAGCTAGAGGAGTTACACCGCCAGTTGCATAAACGTCCATTAAAATTGTCATTAGTTTAAAGCGACATTCCACATACAAATTTAACAGACGTTGCTTAAAGGCGTCATTAAATTTTAATGGATGTTTGTTCAACAGGTCAACAGCCAGTTACACAACAAATTTGACATTCATTAGAGCTTAGTCATTAAACCTTTTCATCATTAAGCTGTTAGGCGGGCACTTTTCAGGTGTAACTTGGTACCAATGCTATAGGGTGGGGGAGCGATTTTTCGATATAAAAGAAGTCACATTCGTCAGCAAAATCCGTTCCTAATATCGTACGCTGAGAACGATAGTGACACAATGGAAAAAATGCGATTTTCAGAAATGAGCGTTAAATATTTTTAAAGTATTTTTATTTTCGAAGTATAATATCGTTTCGATATATGTAGATCAAAGGCTTATCTAGAATCAAGATATGGGCATATTGTAATCATGATTAACGATTTCATTTACTAATATTCACCCAGGATTAAAGATTACACGTTGTAATAGATTTTTTATTATTTATTCATTCATTCATAACACATGAATCTTAAATTTATCAAAAATAACGGTAACTATAATATTGTAATATTCAATGCTGGGCGAATGTTACTAAATGTAATCGTTAAACTTAATTATATTTTGGCCATATATGTCTAGAATTATGTTCCTGGTCTAGGGACTAGATGACTCAATTCGTTTCTTAGTTTATCAAAATTCACAAAGTATTCATTGTGTGTAGCTGTTTGATACCGGTAAAATACTTATTGAACGAAAATCATCTTTATTACAATGACATAAAATCTCTAACCTATATAATATAATCTATTGTATAGACCATATAAAAAAACACTCTTAATGAAAGTAATTCATTTATATATTGCTACTATTAAAAATTGGTAATGTGTTTCTAGCATAAAAAGTATAATGTCTAGCGAGTGTCTTATCTATAAATTCAATACAAAATGATGTTTTTTTTTGTCTAGCACGGTCATTGTATAACAGGGGTAATGAAAAAGTCGTTATTCTTACAAATTATATTCAAATTTAATGTTTTGTAATTTGGCGTCGCTTGTCGCGTCAATCGAAATACAAATTATTTAGAGTACGATACAGATATGTGAAAAAAATAACGCACATTAAATGAATGAGAAAGCAGCAAAAAAAAATGAACGATGCAGAAACCGGGACAGGCCAAGACATACTTTTTACGATCAAAATGAAATTAGGGCCACCGTTACTACCGCTACTGCTCACCAGAGAGCGAGACAGTCGCGAGAAGTGCTACCAAAGATTGTTTACTACGAACGTGAACTTAAATCATACATAAATAAACTAATAAAAAAATGTATCGAGCATGTCCAAGTATGAACACTTGCGTAGGCATGTAACAATGTTTAATAAAAAATGTCAAGAATACTTCAAAATAGTATAATTGTGACTTCTGTTACCAAGTGCTGGTATTTAAATGACAGGTAGTGTGACACAGAGTATGAGTACCGGTGCTTTATAAGTTCCATGAGTTTCGTTACTAGTGACCCAGCCACCAGAGATTAGTGCATATTTAACGGCAAATACGTAACGTAATTGACGGACGCGAAATGTAAGAAACAAAAAATGTATAAAATGACAATCAATCTTGCACGGCCGTCGATTCGTAGAGTACAAACATCACATACATCCGTGAGGATCATCCATCAGAGATGCACCTACCTCACACAAAATACTATAAGCAGTATAACATGACAAATCCAAGTTACATATTTAAATTGGTGACCATTGCATGCTGCCTGTTATCCCCACCTCTCCTTTGCTTGATCTAAGACATTTTCTTGTTTTGAGGATTCTTTCAGCAGACAACTTAGCTCCACATAGGGCATCCGTATAGCACTCATAATAATCAACTGTAATATTGAGAGTTGTTACCAAACTTATTATATGTCCAACTCATATGTAGCGGAAAAATTACCTAATCACTTTCATAATATTTACAACACAGCCTGATTATTATTTATGTAGTTTCACATACAGCTATAATATGTGTATTTTAATTGTTTATTTGACTTACGTAATCAAACTGTTTTCAACTCTATCGGAATGCGATAAGGTTGATATTTAAATTATATAAAAAAGTGCTTAAGCATTTTACCGCTTTTTTGCTTTTAACACATACAGATAAAATTCCTGAGCGATAACAGCAACCTACTGCTTCTGTAGTCGTTACTTTCTGCGGTTGGAGAGTTGGTGTTTGAGTTGCTGCACTTGATCGTGTTGACGCGCGAGCTGATCGTTGAGGCCGGCTACGTGTTCAGTCAGTACTGACATTTGCTCTTCGTAGTTGTGTGACGTCGAATGGAGTTCTTCCTCCTGTAGCAATAAAAAAAAAGCATAATAACACGTTTTCGAGTCAATTAATTGTATGATTTCAAATAACCGTTGGTGTGAATTAATTAGATTCGGCTTTTAAATCCAGTTGTCTGTAATGAATGAATAGCCAAAAAAAATATATAGCATACTCATCAATTGTAAGTGACATATTCACAAAACCCGAAGGTAACACATTAAATGATATCTCCTCAAATTATTATCAGTAAATAAACAATAATTAAGAAAAAGTAAATAAATACTGTTATAAAAGTGACTCACCAGCCTACTGATTGTATTATGTTTCTCCTGGAGAGTGTGCCTATCTAGCTCCTTATCATGTTCCATCTCTTCAAATCTCAACCTTAACATTTCACACTAAAAGACAATTTATTATAATGAAACTTTTTATCTTCATCACTACAGAGATAAATTGAAACAATAATGCAAAATAAACAAATAATCTTTAAATAGTATTTAATTACCTCTGTGACATAATGTTCAGTCTTACTTCTCAACTCATCTTTTTCAGCTTCCAATTTACTAACTTTGTCTCTAAAATAAGTCTTCATTCTATCTTCTCTAGACTGTACTTCATGATTCAACAAGAAAGGCACCTCCATACTTCCAAGTAAGCCTATGACCTTACCTTCTGTATCAACAGAAGTCTCATTGAAATTATTGAAGTCACCTGAATCATGACTCTCTCCTTTCCTTTTTTGTGAGGCCGACACATATTTGGACACTTCTAATTTGAGACTATCATTTTCCATTTGTAGGAGTTCATATTCCATTCTCAATTTCTGGTTTTCCTAAATTTATAAATATAATTAAATATACATAATATTTTTCAAGTTATGGAATGGCAGCATGTTTATATGAAATAAATTTATTTATACCATTATAAATCCACCATTATAAATAAATTTATAGTATACAAACATGCTTCCATTCAGTTATCAAAGCATTTCACTTTGACATCAAGCAATGAATACATCAACATTAGCATGATCAAATCATCCTCCAGTCACAATACTCAATAAAGGTATTATGTTACTATATGTAATAGGTTTTATGTTACTACTTATTATTTGTATACATACTGAGTATATTATGTGTGTTGTCAAAAAATGTATTCTATTCTAACATAAACAACAAGTGGCAATACTCCTTGCAGTTTTCAGTTTGTACATTCAAATCTTTCAATTTCAATTTCAATTTATTTATTAGCCATTTATAACAATATTGTTATACAAGGTATGTCAGTTCACAATTTATAGTTCAATTAAATCTTAATCTCAAGAGAACAAATAAAACTTACAGTATCTAATTACATCATGTCATAAAAGTAGATTCGCTTATACGCATCGTCAAAAATTCATTCAAGGAATAGAGACGATTTTGCTCAAAAAAAGATTTCAGAATACTTTTAAAGCTACTGTGTTTTTGTTTGTAATACTTAAAGGTAATTTGTTATACATTATTATTTTTAGATAAATACCCTGTTTTTGAACTTTTTTGATTCTTTTAATCCAATTGCCATAAAACACAGTTTTCATATTATACAAAATGATTCCACTTTGTTTACATCTAAATTAGACCCTTATCACATAAGAGTGGGAGAATTAAGTATGATAAATTAAAATTTATTAAAGTATGAAATACCTGTTCTAATGTGTGTGTCTTTATACTAAGTTGCTCATTTATATTCAAATCACCTATGGAACTTAAAGCATCCTCACTTCCAACCTGTAAAACAACATAGTCAATAGCCATTTCATAATATATATGAAATCCAAATGATCAGTTAATAAAGTATTATTATCAAAATTCATGAATTTTAAATAAAATTATTGTTACCAAGCTTCCTCCTTCTGAAAGGAAATCTCCATTACAGCTATGTGGTTGACTACTTGATACAACTTGAATCTTTGGTGTTCCCCCAAGCTTCTCTTTCTGTACTTCCTCAAGTGCAAATTGTAACTCCTGGTTTTTGTTTTTCAGCTTAGCTATCTCACATTTATATTTGCTGTCACTTTCATTTATATGCTTTTGATAGTCTTCTAAAGAAGCCTTCAATTGTGACACTTCGAAAGTTTTATCTGAAAGCTTAAGTTATAAAGAAATTACAATAAAGTTCAATCACTGAGGCTTCAATGTGGTCACTATAATAAATGTTAATCTTATTCTATATAGCGTGTAGAGAGTAGATTCCGTATTGTTAAATGGCACCAATCTTGTCTGATGACTTATAATCTATTAAATAATACTCTATGCCTGTTCTGTGTTCATAACAACATTATGAATATGGTGGACAGTATTTTCATAGGTATACAATACAATGAAATAATTTTAATAACACTTTTTATTTTTTAAGCAGGAACTTTAAAAGCTAGTACTATTATAGATATAAACTACTAAACACTCAGCACTTATGGCCAGTTCATCTACTTCTGAATCTTCTTATTTCTATTAATATTCCTAGAATAACATCACTGTTTATTTTGATTTGAATATGTTATCCACAGACATCTCATATTTAGCTAAATACTATTTTTAGTATTGTAAACATCTAATAGAATATACTATATAAAAACTATAAGCTTTTCACCAAAGTTAAATTCAAGAAATTAAAGAGCTTTTTCATTAAAAATACAAATAAAATTGAAGAACTTTTTCATAAAAATATTTTATAAGTGGTTTATTTTACCTGTGAAGCAAATTGTGCATTTTCAATTATTTTCTTCTGCAGTTCTTCTTGTAATAAACCAGAATCGAGAGCTGGTAAATTACTTACAGCACCCACTTGTTTATCATCTCCTTTATTCTTAGATTTTTTTGTTAGTTTGAACTGCAAAAAAAGGCCATTAAAAAAAGGATTTATAATACAGATATTAAATAAAAGTTAATTGAAGCTGACAGTAAAAGAAAAATAGACCTGTAAAGCTTCTAGCTCTTCCTGAAGCACTGACACTCTCCTAGTTAACTGCTGATTCCTAAAAGTTAGAGAATCTATCTCCAATTCTCCTCTTCGTAGAGCCTTCTCCTTTTCTTTTATTAAATCTCTCAATTCGTTAGATTTCGCTTGTTCATCAAGAACTCCTTTTTTTAGTACCTTTACATGTACTCGTAACTGTAAAGGAAACACTAACTTTAAGTAACTATTGGTTAATAATCGCCGCAGTATGTAGATGCAAACTATAATCATTTAACATACCTTAGAATACTCGGCTGCTAATTTTTGATACTTCCCCTGAATATCTCCTGAAGGTAAGCCTTCCATGATAAAGTTTTATTTGTTATTCATCACTAAATAAATAAATCGAATAGCTGTTTACTTGATAAAATTTGCTATTGCATAGTTGAACACCCACTTCGATGAGTTGAGTTGACACAAAGAGCAAAGCAAAGTTGACGTGATAGATAATGGCACAGACCAATAAGAGAACTAGTATAAATAAGAATTAAATAAAAGGTTGGCCTTACTGCATAAGGGGTGAAGAAAGCATAGGGGGAGGAGAGCTAAATGTCAACTGTTATTCTACCATGTCTATGTTCAATCTATGTTCTACTACCGGCATCGGAACGGTAACTATTTTCTATGGGACTTACCGGGCGTGGATAATGGGAACCAACTTTACCCTTTTTTTTTGTAGAAAGGGAAACCAAACGAAAATAAGGACATGGACAACAATATATTGGAAAAACGATTATAAGGTTGGGAAAAACTCTTCTCGCATATAGTAGGCATTAACTTTTAATAAAATCTTTCTGGTTATACCATTTGTATCTGGCTATACCATTTGTATCTGGCTAGTCTCGGTAAAATAACTCCGAATTCAAGTTAGGAAAAGTGTGTTTTTTATTTGTTTCTCTTATTGTCAAAATGAGTGCATCTCATCAATGAGTAATAATTAGATAAACAATCTCATACAAACATACCATACAACAGACGCGCCAGAAAGCGTATAGATCCATACTTGTTGGGACGACGAAATCAAAGCTTAGTAAAAAGATAAATTACAAGATAAACGTGTCAGTAAGGTTCTGTAGATCAATTGCTTTGAAGTTTTGTTATTTTTTTCATAAAGCAGTGTTATTTTCACGAAATAATAAAATACGGACTTATACAATGAAATTAATAATCTAAATATCTCGCTTATTCTTAGTTTAAATGATAATTATATAAAGGTTAGTTGTAATGTAAAGGTCTAACAATAAATAATATTTCTTTTCTAATTTAATCATAATTTTTATGCCTTATAATTTTGTTAATGACTTGGCCTTAAATTAGGTAACCAATTTTAATATTTAGGCCTTTTTTTCTTATGTAACCGTGAAAAGCGTAAATAAAATTGTAATAATAAGTAAACAGCCTAATTATCAATTTCGTCAGTAAAAAAATAGTATAATAAGTTACTTTGAAATTTCATTGTTTAATTAAATAAAAAAATAACAATTTTTTGTTAGGTAGGTTACCTAACACAGAATTTGATAACGCGGAACCCTAAGCACTTTTGATTTAGGTACATTGGTGTTCGAGTTGCAATAATTACCTATGTCGTTTTGGTCATCGCTTCAGTCGCGTCCGAGACTTTCCTCTTAAGGTCAACTTACGTTTTCGTTCTTTCGGCACTTTTAGTTTGTTTTTCATACTCGTTCTGTTTACATGTGTTGTTGTGTTTGTGTGCGGTAAATGCAATGTGTTCGTACTCAAATGCCTAATATTACGAGATGATAATGTGTGTTGGTGCTTGTGATGGTAATCTTGCTGCGGCTCGGCGACTTTATGACGAGCGCCACGTATCAGGAAGATCTGAAAACCCTCGACGTCTTCCTTCTTACCGGTGCTTCGTGGCACTTGTGAATCAGTTACATACAACTGGTTCATTCCACAGGGAGGCCGGCCGAACACCTATTCCCAAAGTAGGGTCAACCTGAATTTTGGGAGTTGTGATTCCTCCAAAAATATATTTATATATCTTTGAAACCATTTTTTTCTTATTTCATAGTGATATCAAGCTTGTTCATAATTTATGTGTATTGAGTGTGTGTATGAGGGTGCATTCAGGTAATAATTTTTCTAGGTACTGACTCAAATACCTAGCAGGTACTCGGGTACTCGAGTACCTGGAATACAGGTTTCGAGGCAAATATTACTTTTATGTTTACTAAGTTTTTATTAATCATTTCATCATTCAAAACTTTTGGTCTATAAGAGATTGCGTGCGACTTTAAACTAAGCGACATCTAGTTTGATTTCGGGAACTAATGTTGTTTTTCTAACGCTTTATGTAATACTGACTTCTTAGCAGATGAGTTGTCCCATGTACAGGACGTGGAAAAATGGATACAGCGCAAGGAGGTCACACCCTATCCGAAGATGTAAGGAAAGACTACCTAAGGTTCTCAGGCAACGGGAATTTTTAGGCTATGTTAAGGGGGTAACGGACAAAATTTGTTCCATTTTGAGGAAAAAAATTTCTATAGACACCATTTTTACTCCTTTATCAAAAATGTCACACCAATTGTGATCACCAAAGGATAGTATTCCTTACCAAAAACCTGACGTTTATAAAATTGACTGCAGCTGCGTTAGTTCATATATCGGACAAACGAAGCGGACTATCGCCGAATGTGTAAGAGAACACATAGCAGCGGTCAAAAATCGTCAAGTGGAGAAGTCCGCCATTGCAGAGCACTTATATTATCATCTGGATCAAACCATTGGATCGAGTTACATACACCTCATGTCCTTTCCACTGAACGACATTACTGTCCAAGGATTGTTCGTGAAGCGGTTGAAATAAAAAAACACAACAATATCAACCGGGAAAGTGGATATATTAATATTCTCGGATACCGTAAGTGCAGTGTGTCGCCACCTTTACGTACAAGAAAATCAGGTGGAGGGTACATCTGAAAATCTGTTAAAAACATTTTTACCGGATTACCCTCACACCTCAACTAAAATCAGAAGACGACACCCGCTAGTACTCCAGTCTCCTCGTGACCACGGCTGCTGTAACGTAGCCGAAACGTCGAGGTAAATTATTAGTTTAAAAAAATGCACGAATAAGATCCGATTACATATAATTATAAACTAATGTTTTTTTTTTAAATATACTTCCTCATTAGTTTTCAAAACTCAATAAACAACTCATATTCTATTTGTACTTTTTCGTATTTGTATTGATATCTAAGTTTCGAACTTTTCAAATTTCAGATTTTTATTATGCTAGTTAAAAGGAACGGAAATGACTGTCTTTGGTCCATTCGTTTCCTGCAAAAATCAACTTTTCCTAGAGTCGCCATCTAGTGGAGGTGCGTCTTTAGTGTTTTCGTTTTTATTTTAAATACTTCCTCGTTTACTTTTAAATATGAAAGAAAACCGGAAGGGTTGTCATCACTGACCAAGAAGAAGATACTACGTGTTGTCATGAAGCACCGTAGCGACAACTAATTTAATTTCGGGAACTAATGTTTTTTTTTTAAATTACTTCCTCATTCTGCCTGCCGATTCCGAGTCTCGAATATGGCCAATTCATATCTGCTGCTTTGGTACATATACAGACTATACAGTTATTATATTTGATCAATTTTTCAATTTTTGCCGTGATCGTGGGTTCAAGTCACAAAGTACCTGGGGTTCTGAAATATATTTTAAAGCATTTTTAATTAAAACTTCGTTGAAAAATCTTTTTAAAAATTTTTCATTAAAACAAGAAAAATGTTATCAAGAAAAATGTATTTTTAAGGAATTGACTAATTTTATAAAAAGTTTTAAATAACTAATAACAATGTTCCCTCAAATTTTTTGAATCTTGAATCCCTAATGACTGGATTTTGTCTCTAATGACGTTTGTAAACGTAGAATTGAGTGTGCAACATTTGATGCACAGCTACGTTTTTTCTACGGAGAGAAGTGTTTTTCTGATATTAATGTTTCATATTCGATACTCATAATAAAAAAGAGATCAAGTTATATCGTAAAAATATAAAAAAAAAACATTAATACTGCAATTTTATTCTATGAAAATTCTCATTTTCATTGAAATGACGGGAACGCAACTTTTCTTAACATTAATATTGTGGTCTGAGTGAAACGGAATACCGATCAAAACGGTAAAATAAAAAACGAGGGAATCTTTTTTTTGCCTGGTAACCTCTCTTCTGTTGATGTGTCGTGATCGTGAAGTCTAAAATATCAATATTTTGCGATTTATGAAATAAAAACGATATATTCTGAGTGGTTTTCAGAGTTCGAATATTTTTTACCATATTCCACCTTTCAATGATACCGAAATGGACGATGCGTAAGTGCTAACTGTGTTTCAAAATAACATTACTTCTCAACAGGCAAAACTAAGTTGGAACAATGCAAATTGCAACTAAACTATGATAAATTTCACAGGATCATGCAGTCAAGTAGTTCTACTTGTAGCTACGTGGACGGCGATCATACCAGAAGCATTATACACATCGACATAGACTGTTTTTACGCTCAAGTGGAGATGGTGAAAAATCCCGAATTACGTTCTGTGCCACTCGGCATACAACAGAAAAACATCGTCGTTACAAGTAACTACGAAGCCCGAAATTATGGTGTCCAGAAATGCATGCTAGTTACTGACGCACTAAAAGTTTGCCCTAATTTGAAACTTGTTAATGGTGAAGATTTACATGACTATAGAGCAGCTTCTAATAAGATATTCGAAGTTTTATTGTCATTGAAATGTCCAGTAGAGAAATTGGGTATGGATGAGAACTTCATAGATGTCACAAAACTAGTACAGGAAAAACAAAAATTAGATAGCCACGAATTAGTTGGTCGTTTGTACAGTGAGCCTAGTATGGATTGTCCATGTGGTTGTCACACTAGACTGAAAATTGCATCACAAATAGCTAATGATATAAGGCAAAAAGTATATAGTGATGTTGGTTTTACAACATGTGCTGGTATTGCACACAACAAGCTGCTTGCAAAATTAATTTGCCCCTTTCATAAACCCAATAACCAAACAACAATATTTCCAGAACATGCCATTGCTTTCATGGCTACTATGGACAGTGTTCGGGCCATCCCAAGTATTGGATCCAAAACTACTGAAACTCTTATATCTCATAAAATCATATCTGTGAGTGATCTACAAAAGGTATCAATTGAAGTATTGAAAAAGAACTTCAGCAGTGACATGGCAATAAGACTGAAAAGTTTAAGTTTAGGAGAAGATAACACTCCAGTGAAACAAACGGGGAAGCCTCTGAGTATAGGGTTAGAAGATAGTTTCAAAACTGTCAGTGTCAAAAGTGAAGTAGAAGATAAAATCTCAGCTTTACTTCAAAGGCTGTTGGTACTCGTTAGAGAGGATGGAAGAATACCAGTCTCTTTAAGGGTCACATTGAGGAAAAAAGATGCTAAGAGGTTGAGTAGCCATAGAGAGTCTAGACAGTGTCAGATATCACCATCAATATTTACAATCAACAATGGCACTCTGACTGTAACTGAGGCTGGACAACAAAAACTCATGTCAATAATTATGAGATTATTCAATAAACTTATAGATTTATCTAAACCATTCCATTTGACACTTGTAGGATTAGCTTTTACAAAGTTCCAAGAGCGTATGACTGGCAGGAGTTCCATAGTGAACTACCTCATGAATGATATCTCTGTTCAGTCTGTACTCAATTTACAAAATGACTGTGACACATCTACATCAGCCATGGACTACTCTGCAGCATCACCCAGTAGCAGCACTACCACAGACTTATCTGATGCTGAAGTAGAACCTTCTCCAAAAAAGCCTAAGAAGGTAACATGGATTGCAAAAAGGAGATGTTTGGCAAAGGAGGAAGTTGCATCTCCAAGTAAGCTCAAAGTAAGTGAGCTACGTCTCAACTCAAAGGAGTTAGAAAAGGTATCAGAACTAAGATTGAACTCAAGGGACAGATCTTTGACACCCAGAGCCAGTCCTGCTAAAGACAATCTTTCTGATACCTCTGAAACCATGAAGGATTTAACTGATGATAGTCCCTGCGATGACTGCCCTAGCTATGTTGATAAGGAAGTGTTTAATGCTCTCCCAGATGAGATGCAACAAGAGCTTAAAGTTATGTGGAAAAATCCCTCCAGTTCAGAAGTACAGAGGAGTAGTCCCAGAACAACGAACAAATCAAAACCAAACACAATCATGAAATATTTTGTTCCCCACAAATAGTATTAGTAAGATTCTATCTTGTTAATTATTTTAAGTGATAAGTGAATGGTTTCTATTTTTTCAAATCATACAATTTTTATTCAACTGATCAAATACATGTTTATGTTAAAAACCATATTTTGTTTTACCCTTACAATTGAGGACACAAAAATAATAGGTGTAGTTTATCTTGACCATATCATTTAATAACTATATTTTTTACAGCTTCTGTAACCATAGAATAAAGTTCTGTATACTTGTGCACACTATTTACATTGACATGTAGATTCTCTGCCATTTTTGCATATGAAGCTACATCTACATTAAGTTGTAGCCTGATCTTATCACCATCTGTCACCCCACTTGCTTCATTTATTTGTTGCTGCGTTTTCTCACGTATCTGTTTCAGTCTTCTCAGTGACTCTTCTGTTTTTTGAACTGAAGTTAACACATCCTCAACATATTTAAAATATCTGAAAACATTTAACTTCGAATAATGATTTTTAAACATTACTCACAACCTCTGGAGCAGAACTTTGTAGCAACACAGAAATAGTCCAATATTTACTGTTTGTCTGATTAGCTATCAAAATTGTATTTGTTAAAATTTTTTGACTAGTTTGCATGTATGGTTTTTAAACCCATAATATATACAAAAGTTAATTTTATATAATTTATTATTGTTTTCTATTTCACACTCTGATTTTTAAATTGCAACATTTAAATCTATTTAATAAAATTTATAACAGTTAATTTATTGACAAATTTATAAAATAAAATGTAATACTTACGAAATAGTCATAATATTGAATAAGGCTTCATATAACTCAACTAAGAATGCATTGTCTAGTCTCTTTTTAGCATCATTATGAAATTCATATAACGTTTTTGATACAATTTCTATATATGTACAGGGTTTAGTAGGAATACTCCGATTGGTTTTTCTATATAATCTTGGTATGTCACTCACTTGTCTTAACTGTAGATTGAAATGATCAAACAACTCTTTGACAATACATTCCCTAATTTTATCTTTTGTTCCTTCCAATAATTTTTCTGATGAACTAAGACTCTGTCTCAGTAAATTATCATTTTTTATTGAAATTTTGGGTTTAACAATCAATAAAAACTGAGGCAATCTTTGTAATAAGATCTGAATATCTATATAAATGTTAATAATACTGTCAATGAGGACTTTATTCAACAAACTTGAGTCAACTGCAGGGTTTATAGTTTTCTGAAATTGTAATACGAATTTATTAAATATTTTCAATATAATAGTAGTAGTCATTAGATTTACAGAACAACAATGGTACCCTTTGCTGGAATGATTTCTACACTACCTGAGTACAAATTGTAGTTGCCCAAGTTGCATATCTTGACAGTAATTGCAATGAAAGTTTCCAGAACTTGTGAGCTAGAGCTTCTATGTAGATTCCATCTGTCCAACATTCCAATAATGATTTCCAACAAGAGTGAGTTTCCTTCAAAATAAAGCCTTCACCATTTTCAATTGTAGGACAGTTTTGCAACATTGTTTCAAAACCACCTGCAAGCACATCACCATATTTAATAAACAGCATCTGTAGTCGAAATAGATTTTTGGTTCATAATTGTAATATATTTGCTATACCTGCTATTTCTTGGAACCGAATCTGAAAATACACTGGGAGATTCCATCTCCTTTGAAAACTTTTAAATTCTGATGTATTTCGTAAAAGTTTTACTGTTTTCTTAGTGCTGCACCACTCTTCTAACTTCTTTACAAATTGCAAACTTTCACTATATCTTTGATAAAAAATCTGTGGATTGCCAGGAGCAAAAATAGATGCTAGATTCACCTCTATTCGGCTCTCAACTTCACACCAAAAGCAGTTCACTAAGAAATTATACTTGTTAATAAGAAAAGTCAGTTTGGAATGTTGAGTTACTATCAAGAATAATTTTAATTTTGTGTCTAAAAGTGACAGGACCTTTGCATAGATTCCTAGTAAACCATCTTTACTTTTCTGTAGTGTGGACTCATTTATGATGTCTTGTAATAAAGGTGCCACAGCCTGTTTCCTCATAAGCCACTCTGTTTCTGTAACACGATCTAGTACAGCCAATGACATCAATACTTTAAGGAGATTGGCCTCATCATTCTCATTCCAAAATTGAAAAAGCAAATCATTTAACACTTCAATAAGTTTCTCTCCAAATTTATTATTTTTAAACTTCTGTTCTGATTTTATTAAATTCTCACACTTCATTGCTGAATATTTAAGTTGATTATACTGCATTGCAGCTCGATCAGCTAATACTATTTGCTCTTGCTTCCTTTTCTCTGATATATTATTTAATATGCTCTCCAATGTTTTCATGCAATTAATAGTTTGACTATAATACTTTAACAATTGCTTTTTTTTCTGTAGAGCATGTCTTTGGCTCAGCCACATTGATAACTCTTTCATAGCATCATCCAAACTTTGTTTTACATTCTGAAAAATATAAAATTATATCACTAAATTATAGGCGACGCATATTGGTTATAAAACGATTTCCTGGAATCAAACAGGAGAACTTACCAATACTTCTTCATTCAACTGACCCAATGGCACTTTAATCTTTACTATAGCTTTATCAAATCCAATGAGAGTTGCACATAGATTTACAAAGTTTGCATAGTCTTTGTTGATCAGTTCTATCATAGCTAAACGGAGCACCTTCAAGTACACACCCAGGTCATCTCGCATGGTTTCCAATGAAGCTACATTTTGGTGGTCTGCTAAGAAGTTGTCAATGGAGAAATTTGTCTACAAGAATTTAAAACCAATGAAAAACACGTTTTAAGACTTAAGGACGATCATAAATAATTTGAATATGAGTAGTAAATACCTTAACAAAATCATTGCGGTCGAAACACAGACCCCGTGGGGCCGGGGGTAATGTAAACTCAAGATTATCATTCTCCATAATAGCTGACTCTTAACATTTTATAAAAAAGGCACCATTATATAAATTTTTAAAATTGTGTAATTAAAATAAAATAAAACCCTCTATTCAGGAGTCATCTTGACGTTTTGGTGAAACGAAATTTGACAAATGACACGTCAGTTTTAGTGATGTAATCTAAGAACAAGTTTAGATCAATTTTGGTCTGTGAAGTAATTCAATAAAAACCGGAGATTTGTCGATAAATATAAAGTGAGATTTCCAATAGGTACCTCCTAATCAAGATACTATAAACTTCATGCTCCTAACTGACATTAATTAAACGCTTTTATCATATGAATTTTAAGACATTATTTAAGAACAAAAAGAAGATTTTTTTTTTTTCTTTAATTTAATACTTCTCCGTAGAATTATTATGTTTCGATCTTTACACAGTTACTATTTAATTCAATTACCAAGTCTTGGACTTAGTACTATATAAAAGGACAGAGTACTCCCGGCTGAAAAGCGAGCCGAGCGAGATATCAAGGGTCTACAAAATAGTCAAATCCCTTTCTAAGAGGGCGACAATAATATTTTAATTAAATGAAACTTTAGGTAAAGTTACCGACGGTGGATTGATCAGATACTGATAACCGTTCGTAGGCAAAATATATGAAAATGGGGCAAAAAAGAGTTTCAATAAAAAAATCTATCCGTCGGTAGAGCTGTCAAACTTACTATCCGTAGCTTATCTATCAAATTTGCCTACCGGCCATTTTCCGTCGGTTATCGTAAAAATATTTATAAATGACACGTTTTCCCTTGTTAATTAATAGAAAAATGATAGTTTTTCATAAAAAAAATAATATTCTAGAAGAGTTTAATGTGTTTTGTGGTTCCAATTAGAAAAATTTAAGTTGTAATCATGTCAATGTTTGTACCTTTAAGGGCTCATACTACCAATTAATTATTGGTCCAGATGTTTTTTACAATATGTCTCTGTTTTCCTTCTTACGATATCGATTTTGTCCAAGAAATTATTAAATGTTAAAGACCAACTTTTCAGAATAATCATAATACATATTACCTAAGACGAGGCTGTATAGAAAGATTCCTTTTCCTCGAATTATATGATTACAATTTTAAAAAATGAGCTACCAACAACCGTCCGTAATTGGTAGGTGCCTACCGATGATTGTGAAACGCAAAAACGAATCAAAGTCAAAGTCAAAATAATCTTTATTCAAATAGACTTCTTAAAAGTACTTTTGAATCGTCCAACATTTTTTTCCCTACCACTCGTTCAGGACGTCTTTTGGCTGATAAGAAGAACGAGCAAGAAACTCACCAGCTCTAATAAGAGTAATGACATTTACAAAAACCATGTCATTACCAGATCAATACATTATAAACAGAGATAGAAAAAAAAAAACTATGGTCTTATAATGATAACATAATCATTTAGTAATAATGGAAACAAGATAATGAGTTTAGAAGTAATCACCTATCCAGTTGCTGGATCATCTCAAGTCCAAGCGTTCTTATCTTTTATATAATCGGATACCTTATAATAAGTTTTTTTAATAAGTATTTTTTTAATAGTAGATTTAAACTGCATGATATCTCATTGTTGTATTTTGCTTGGGACCTTATTGTAGAAGCGTACACAAAGACCCTTAAACGAGTTATTAATATTAGCAGTCTAGTGACAGGCACCGTTAATTTATTTTTATTTCTTGTATTAAAATTGTGTACATCGCTTTTTATAGAATACAAACTATTATTTTTACGAACGTAAATTAAGTTCTCGTATATGTATTGAAAAGCAACAGTCATAATGTCTATTTCCTTAAATTTCTCCCTTAAATAGTCCTTAATCCTAAGATTATGCATTGATCGAATTGCTCTTTTCTGAAGCACAAAAATTGTTTGTATGTCGGCAGCATTTCCCCACAATAGGATTCCGTACGACATTACACTATGAAAGTAACTGAAGTAAACTAATCTGGCAGTATCTATGTCAGTTAACCTACGTATTTTCATTACGGCATATGCTGCAGAGCTAAGTCTACTCGACAATCTATCAATATGTGGGCCCCACTGTAGTTTAGAATCTAATGTTATTCCTAAAAATACCGTGGTATCCACAAGGCCCATGTTCTTATCTTTTATATTAACATTTATATCTACTTTTTTAACATAGGTAGTACAAATTTTAAGCATTTTGTTTTTCCTTCATTTATTAATAATGAATGGTTATCGGTAGGTCAAAAAACGGTCGGTAATTGCTACCGATGGTTGTCGGTATATTATTGTAACCGGGGGTTAATGAACCATTTAAGTTTCAACATTATTTTAGGTATAATATTTTTTTAAATAATTATGAACGTTTACCACCATTATCTTATTAAGGCTCTTATAATAATTTTAAATTAGGCCATTTTAAAGTGCACATAATCACGTGAAACACCTTTTAAAACCTCAAAGGGAGGCCCCACATTTGAATTAATCGACATCAAGTATTCAACTAACTCCCAGTTTCGGAAAGAACTTCCAATTAGTTCGTTCGAAATGCATAAGCGCTTACTTCTGGAGATCCAGCATCCAGCACTCACTTCTGACAAGAAAGAAATTAGTTGTGAGATGCTTTTTGTCCCACCGCAAACGTTTTGTCCTCCGAACGCACCCAATCTCTTGTTGATTAATCAAAATGACAATAAATTAATATTTTCACACACTTTTATTATACTTAGTAAAAGTGTGTGAAAATATTTTATTACGAAACCGAATTTTATTATACTTAGGTCGAAAATACAAGTACTACCATTACTTTGGTTCTCTTTGTGACCGAGGAGTTTTATTTTTATTTTGGACAACCTTTTGCTCTTCTTTTCTTTTAAGATATTGATTTCTTCATTTTTCCTTTTCGATGGCAAGCAGCTCTGGATCATTTTTACCCGACTGCGCTACGAAAAGGAGGGTAATGTGTTTATCAGTCTATGTATGTATGTTTGTTTCTATGTGGCGTTCTAGAGACCAAATGCGTAGGCCGATTTTGATGATTCTTACGTTAATCGATTCGTCTTAACCTTGCGAGTGTCACTAAAGACATGACAGTACTCAAAATTCACCACAGCGACAACCAGACGCCATATTGTCTAAATGAAAAAAATAAAAATCGATGAACTATGTCAAGTGGGGTGTCGTTGAATAGGTATTTTAAAATCATCTTTAGGTTCCTTTTATCACTTTTCATTTTAAATAATAGTTTAGGATATATAACGATTTAAAGTTGTTTAACAAAACATTCTCGCTAATTTTCTTACTTATTAATTAAAGTTTTTATTTAAAGTATAAATGATATACCTAAAAACAAAAAAAAAAATCAGTGAAAAAGCATGAAGAACAAATATTTTTGGTAAAAAAATAAAGCATATGTAGCTTTGAGCCGAGGTAGGTCTCTAGAGGAGTCCCTCTATCTCTGATGATTAGTCAATCATCAGTAGTTTAGACCACCGCAAGTTACTTAATACTCCCCACAATATTAACTCCCTCAATGAAATAACTTGATTGCGAAGATTTGATTTCGGAAGATTTGATTGGTAAAATTTCAATGGGCCCCGACTTTGAGTCGTTCTGTTCTGTATTACTTAACAGAATTCTAAACTACTGGGCTTGTTTCTTTCTTTTTAGTTTTTATTTAAGTTAATTCTTTCATGTATTCATTTTTTAAATTCGTTTTTACGCAGTCGGGATTTTTGTTTTTCTTTACATTATTTGTTATTTAGCTACCGTTATAGCGTCTTCTTTCACACATGCGCTGTTTTGTTAATCTTTGATCTTTCGTTTGAGGCATTTTGCTGTAATTAAAATTAAAGTTTTTGGTAAGTGAAATTCTAACGTTTTGATTTCACTAATCTGTCACAATTTAGTTGACTTTTTAAGTTCTATACAATGTCAAATTTGGTCGTAATTACCTACTCCATACCAAACAGGCGATAAGGTAAGCTGAGATTGGTGAAGTTGGGTCTTTAAATCATCACAACATCCAATAAAACATTTTTATTGTTTTCAGTATAATATATTGTTATAAAACAAAAAAGGTAAATAAAGCGGCTAAGTCTGAAAAAAAGGAATGTGTTACGAAATATCAAATTGACGGGACGGGCATTAATTAAATAAAAACCAACAATCGTCCAATAAAATAGTAACGTCAAAAGACAAGATTTAGAGTACAAATATTATACAGACATATTTCAAGACTTAAGATTTAATTCTCCTTTTACAAATCATTATAATTAAGTATAATATTACTGTAATATATCATTATGTGAAACTTAGTGGCATTCTACTCAACATCAAGTTGCCCATAATGATGTAACACAATGACGAGTTGAGAAAAATAAGCCGCACGATCTTGTTTGTAAGCGTATAACCTCTGCAAAATCTAAATGAAATCGACTACTACTGGCTACTGTTGTAAAAACAAACAAAAATGTTATCTATGTTATTTCAAGAAATTAAGAAAGAAGTACTAACGACATATTTCATGACAAAATGTAGATAACCATGAAAAATTTCTCACCGTTCTCAAATGTGCACGTATTTGTTCAACAAGGCATTGCCGTCGGCTGAGGACCCCTTCGGCATACCCAAAAGGGTGAACTAAAGTTGCCTTGGCTATGAGGTTATTTTAGTAAAAATTATATTGACGTTTCTGCGATGAATGACGTTTTTTATGTGGCAAATATTTGTTGATATTTTCGAAGAGTTGATTGATAAAAATAAAAAGTATTTTATTTTTAAAGTCGGTAACTTATAAAATAATGTAAAATGTAAATAATAAGTATATAATATGTGTCCCAAATATTTACATCTTAAACTATTTCCATGGAAGACAGAATAAGACAGATTCGACAAACAACCCACATGTGTTTGTTTAGTCATAAGATTGCACAACCTGTTACTATTGGTCTTAAAAATCGTACTCATGGTCTGCGATATTGTTTCAATTGTATAAAATTGAAATTTGCAAAGTTAGAAAGTTAGATATCAATACAAATACAAAAAAAGTATAATAAAACTTTTTCAATAACTGAACCTTCGACCGGAGCTTATATTTTCTTCCAGTTTTACAAGTGGACAGGGCTTTTTTACGAAGGGTAAATGTGACATGAACCGATTTTGAGGAAGATGCTGATTCTCCATTTCTTTAACTATTTCTCTATTTT